TGGGGCAGTCTTCTTCTGCGACGCGGGTTTCTTCGCCTTGGATGCAGGCTTCGCTCTGGACGCAGGCTTCGCTTTGGATGCAGGCTTCTCTGGCGCGAGTTGATTGTCCTCGGACGCGTTCCGAGTTTTGAGGGTGTTTTGCGCTGCGGCACGATCTTGCGCACGAGTGGTCGGCATGGCTATAATGTGGCAGTATTGGACGAGGAACGCATCCTTGAGGTGCGGTTGCATGGCAGCCCGCCGCTATAAATTCTGTGGAGATCTCTGTGACGACTGACGTCACCTGCGCACCGCGCGTCTCAGGTCAGTTAGCCGCCAAGGTCAGCGCTCCAGCAGTCGCGACTGCATGCTTCTAGGTAGTCGCGGTATGTCGAGGTCTTATGCACCAGAACACGAGGGAACGCCTGAGACCTCAGAAGGGGTGCGCACGGAAGGACTGGTGCAATGTAAGATTTGGACGTGACGCGATACAAGTACAACGAACGAGCTTCAAGACTTCGCGCAACTAACATGGACTTCATGCTCTCCTACTCTCCTGCTGCTACTACTACTCCCACACATGCACCGTGCACCGTGACGAAGTGCAGAGACAAACACCAGCCACAGCATGCTACGTCAAGAAGAGTCTCGCCATTTGAACAGCGTATCGACGAAACGTCGATTCAGCGTATCCTTCGACTGTCCACTGGCACCGTGACGCTCCCCGATGGTACCCACGGATTGCGAACGTGATGGAGGGATATTGCTGAAGCGGGAATGTGAGCCTGTGCTTCTACAACGACAGAAGGTACATCGTACTGGAGTCCACTGGCGTCGCCGACAGTGTTTTTGTCTGCGTTTGCGACGCCTCCCTTGGAAGCACCCTGGGTATGCGCATGCTCGTCCAGGACCCTCTCGAACTCGACGGCAGGATCGTAGTAGAACTGCGCGAACGCCATGGCTACTGAATATCGAGTGAGATAGATGCGGTCCACGTGGTGGTGGACAGCGGCTCGAGTGTTCACGAGAAGGAGCGTGGCGGATGTGAATGTCACATAAGCGAGCGAGGCTCTTAAGGAGGTCCTGTTTATGTACTACATTGAAGGTTCATCGTGCCTATATAGGGAATACAGCATGCGAATCGCGGCACGTACGTGTCCTGCAGCTGACATACCGCTTGACTAACCAAAACATGGGCCGTCCCCTGCCGAACAAGCTGAGTGCCAGTGTGGCGCGTGTATGTCCGATATATTGTGAGTACAACAAAAATGTCTATGCTGCTATAAAGGCAGTCCTTATAGATATCAGTTCATTTGAGCCTATCTGACAGCCAGTGAACCGACACCCATCGCACACTCGGAACAAGGTACAAGTACAACAACGAAGGAAACATACATACATACGATCCGTTTAACTTCAGTACGCGCCCCATCCCAATGTCCGACATATCGACCGAAAAGAGCCCAGAGTCCAACCGTACCTCCCACCTCAGACAGTGATCATCTCGACATCCCTCAACTCCCTCTCGACGCCCCTCGGCTCCTCCTTCACCGTAACCTCTGCAGCCATCCCCGAAGACGCTGCCATCGACACAGCTGGGGGAGTCCCATGCCGCCTCCTGTACTCCATGTTGATCGTCACCAGCAAGTCCCGCAACAGCGCTGCGTGCCTCCGCCTCTCCTCCGGCGTGATCGGCGCCTTCCCGCTCCGGCCCTCGAGCTCGATCTTGCCCACGCCCCGCGCGAGCTCCTCCTGGTGCTGTGCGATGGCGTCGCGCGAGCCATATGACGGCGCGAGCGCGCTGATGGGCGGCAGGACAGGGTACGCGACATCCTTCTCCCTCTCCCTCTCCTTCTCAATCGACAGAGACGCGTACGTCGGGGGCGGCGAAGCGTAGCGTTGCGGCGGAGGCGAGGGCGTCGAGTCTTCCGAGATGGGCGAGGGGCTCCTGTGTGCCGTGAGCGTCGACGTCGATAGAGTCGGCGAGACCGTAGGCTCGCGCGAAGGCGCGGCTGGTACAGACGAGGGCGACGGCGTGTGGAAGCGGCTTGCGAGAGGCGGCAGCTTGAATTGCTCGTCGCCAGACGTGAGGAGCGGGTAGAGCGGGCTGCTCTCGCTGGGCGCAATCGAGGACACCGAAGGGAGCGAAGACGCCGCAGAGGCGGTGAGGCGCGCGGGGAGACCGATGTGGCCCACGCGGCCGAGCTTTGGCTCCACGGGCTCTGGGCGGGTCGCGAGGGTCGAACACGAGCTGGACGCAGGTGAGGCGGAGCTCGACGGACCCGCGCTCCTCAGAGGGATGACGGTGCGCATGTTCTTCGCGCTGTAGTCGACAGGCGCAAGCTGTACCGGTGGCGGCGCACGGCCAGTACGCACGAAGTCGAAAGCTGCGGCGCTCTCCGGGGAGACCGTAAGGGGGATATGCGGAGGCGTTGAATGCGGAGGAGTGGACATGCCAGAGTGCGAGGAAAGCGGCGACGCGCCGGCGCTCCCGCCCATGTCGAGAGGGGGCGTGAGATAGTGCGAGTAATTTTGAGCAGAATAGGATTGCCCGTGAAACTGGGGAAGGCCGCCGAGGGAGAGGTGTTCGTCTGTCGCAGAAGCACGCTGCGCACGGAAACGGTTCGTGGTGTATGGGAACGCGGCGCCGGGACCGATGTCTTGCGCAGAGGGATAGAGCCCAAACTGTACAGACTGAATGGAGTGCTGAGATGACCTGCTCGCGTACGACGAAGGCCCATGGTGCGAAAACTCGTTGATGGGGATGAATCCAGAATCGCCATGATAGCTCGCACCGGAACCCGGCCCAGGGGCAGAAGGCATCCCAGGCATGCCTGCGAGCCCGAGCTGGGCAAGATTCGCAGGGTCGAAGAATGATGCCTCGTCTATGTTAGCGTGGGGGACGGAATGGGAGTGCTGGTGCCGCGGATGCGCGGCAGCTCCCGCAACGTCGCGGCCGAGAGTTATCAGGAACTCGTTGACTGCGGCGAGCTCTTCTGGTGTACGGATGTCGAACGAAACGGAACGAGGGGGGAAAGAAGGTCCCTGTGACATCGAGGTGGGAGGCGGTCCACCGCTCGTGGCCGAACTCAGCGACTGCTGGTAGGCAAGATTGCTCAGTCGTGCTGCCATATCTGAGTTCAAGTTACTCAGCATCCGCGGACGCAGTGAAAACAGGATGGACTCACGGGGATCGTATGCAGGAGTAACGCGTCGCTTCTTGACATCTGCAAAGAACTCGTCCACGGTGTAATCATAGCTGCGCTTTGAGCCGCTAACAGGGGCGCTTCGGTTTTGGACGTCCTCTGCAAGCACTTCCCATGTAGGGAGTTGTGACTGGACACGGTACATATGATTTCTCCCATGGGCGGCTGCAACCTCCCGAGCGTAGTCGAGCTCTGGCGAGGGTGTGGGTAGCACCCCAAAGTCAGCACCTAGTACGCGGGCAATATGCGATGAGCACTGAAGCGACGACATTGTTTTGCAATAGAGCACTTGCCTGATGAGCTGTCCGACAGGGGTACGGATGAAGATTTCGCACGCGCGGCGGATCCGTGGTGCTGCTCAGCCGGCGGAGCGATGCTATGCGGCTTGTCGCCCTCGCCACGCACGCGCGATGAGTAGGTAGGGTCGGAAACGGTGATGGCCTTGGAGTGCTTGTGTTGCGCGTGATGTTCTTCTGTGTGTATTTTCTCGTGCTTCTTCAGGTCCTGGGGTCGCTTGAACGGTTTCTTACATATATCACAGACGTGCGGTTTGAGAGGGGTGTGCACTGTAGGTACGATGCGGTCCGCGCGAGCATCGCCGTCGTTCCGTCAATATCGTGTGGCATACAGCGACATTGGGCATGGGAGGGATGATTGTATGCGTACCTCTGAGGTGACTTGTGATGTGGTCGCGCTTGGCACACGTTGTGCCGCAGTCTTTCCATTTGCATGTCAAGCACAGGTTGCCGGTCGACTTTCGGCCTATATGGTCGTTGCATAGATGATTGTAGAGCGACTCGGGATCGGGGAGGGCCTTGTCGCAGCCAACCCACTGGCACTGATGACCAGCTGAGTCGTCGGACGCAGCGCTGGACGAGCTGAGCCCGCTGTTGGACGAGGGCGGGATCTCGGGAGAGGTACGCTCCGCAGCGTCCGAGGGGTCGGACGGGGACGCGACGGAGGCCTTGGGAGAGTGCGATGATTGGCTCATAGGTTGTGAGATGCCAAAGAAGGGGGAAGAGCGGAGGTCGTCGAGGAAGTCGAAGGGGTAGAGCTGGCGATGGAGGGTGTGCTGGAGGGTGGAGAGTGGGACGAGATGGGGGAAGTTGTCCTGGTCCATGGCGGAGGAGTATAGTCTCTTTAAGCTCTGTCGCCGATGTCGATCTCTTGGCAAAATGTGCGTGCCAAGGCCCGAGCAAGAGAAAGGCTTGGCAACACTTGGCACTGCTTACCTAACTTCCCTCACCCTCTTCCCACAGGCGCCCATTGGGTGTGGGCGTTTCTCTTCCTACTCCTTGACCGTGTAGGCATCTGGCTGCCTGCGCAATACTGCCCCCTCTCATGCACATCTCCTCCGAACCAGAACCAACACCTTCTTCATTCCGCCCCACAAATCTCGTGCCAATGCGTGCACTTCCGCTGTCAGCTCCGGCGCTGGCATCGCTATATAAATCCGACTCAGTACTGCAGCACACAAGGCCAGGCGCCTTCGTCGCGGGACATGGATTGCCGAGCATACAACAAGCCCCGCCTTCCTCTTCCGGAGTGTGAACACGTTCACTTGTGACGTCGCTAGATGAAGATGCCGTTTGACTGCTTTCGGAGCGCACACATGAATCTCCCGTTGGCACCCGAGCACTCTGCTGTGTTGCGCTTCCTGTTCTCGACTTTCGAAGCTCCTGACGCCACCGCTCACACAGCCGACTCAATTAGACATACACGTACCGCTACCAGAGGCCGCTCGCGAGTGGGGAACAGAAGACATACAGGCATGTGTCCACTGCGTTGGAAACGTGGGTGTTGACCTTTGGATGTAGCCAGGGACCTGCCCGGCGGGCGAACCAAGCATCTTCGAGTCATTCATCGGGATGGTTCGTGAGATTGTGGTCATCAGTACCGGGGTAGTGGTGAGCATCTCGCAGAAGTACGGCTGACATTATGATAGATGTGCTCTCAAAGCCGGAGTGACTCGGAACCCGCGATGCTCACGACGTTGTTTCACAGAGCTTCTGTACGCCCGCGGGCAGCTCCGGCGACCTCGTCAAACTATGTTCACCCGGTGGACGTCGAGCTCGGCGACTTCTTTAGAGATAGGAGACAGTCGGAGGGTCCAAATTCGCCCGGCATTCAAGGAGAAATCACACAGTACGCATTCGCAGTCCCTGGCGCCCCTTGTCATGGATCGTGCTGGGCGGTGTTCATGTGTTCCAGCTTGCGAATGCCGTGCGGAACACGAAGGGCTCAGGACAGTTCAAGACGCCGTCACGTAAAGAACGTCAAGAAGGTTTGTGTATGCCAAGCCCATCTTCCCATCGTCAATGATCGCATGGCCCGATCAAGATCTGGTCCTCCACTGGCGCCCGGGATCTCTTTGCCTGAGGCTAGCTGAGGCACCGCTATTGCGCGACGCCTCGGCCAGAGGCTTGGCATTGTATGCTGCGGCTCGGGTCGTTGCGCCGCAGTATGGCGCATCCTCAGACTGGCTGTCCCCGCCATAGCGGACTGAGCGGTTATGCGGAGGTACGCAGGGGAACAGCGCGAGGGCTACTTTCCTCAGTGCACTCCCGATTTCCCTGGGGCGCAGCCTTGGAAGCTTCGAACACTCCCATGCTCTCATTGTGCGCTTCGTTCATCTAACCAAGTTTGAGAAATTATTTCCATGCATGCACAAAGGCTACTTTCGCGGAAGGTTCGGCTTGCTTATCGTGTGTGCGCGATCCCACCCCAACCGCGTCGCACGCACCGTGGTCAGGGCGTCCTTGAACCTACGTGCGTCCCCATGGCGTACAGCCCGGTCTATTACCGTCGAGGGGCATGCGAACGCTATCTTGACAAGGTAGTTGGCTAGCGGTCCCCGCGCCCTAGTCTCCCTCGGCAGGGATTCGGTTCCCCTGTGCGAGGCAATGGACGCAAGCCGGGCATCAGCACGCTTCCGAGTCCGAGAAACTGGTACGCTTCATTCAACACAATTAACCTCGACTCACATCGCGAAGCCGTAGCCGCACCTTACCGTGGACCCGGTGGGGTGTGGTTACGTGGCGTCATTGATAGAAGCCACCCATGGACAATACGTCGCTGTTGACTGGGTAGGATGGCAACTCCAGAGGGACGTTCAGGTCCTGGATGACTTCCTCGGCACCCACGTCCCAAAATACAACTCCGAGGCTTTTCTTTAGTAGCCCTTCAGGAGCCCGGAAGCAACTCCGTTCGATGTCAGTGGAGCCGCCGACGGAATGCCGGCGGAATGGAGGGTTTGGTCGCGGACAGGCCTCCATGAGAGGACGGAGAAAGGAAGTGAGCCAAGGGATCGCACACGCATAGCATCATGTGGTGTCTATGGTCAATGTCGAGGCGACGATCTGGCCACGTGCGAAAACGTACTACGCACAAATGAATTACAGCACTACGAGCACTACGAACACTATAGCTACAGCACGACAACAAGAGAATATATTTTAGAACATGATCACACGTCCCAATCCAAAGTATGAATATCGCAGTCCCAGTGGTAAGAGCACGAAGTAGCGGACGGCACGCCAAGGCGTGCTGACAGATTGCTATCCCAAGCACGGTATATGGAGGCGCAAAAGCGGACAAGCTCTTCGTTCACGACTTTTTGAGCGTCAGCTTGATCTTGGGAGCGCCTGAAGGCGTTGCCGGCATCTCGTCCTCGTCATCCGGTACCATCGGCGGACTTGTCGCAAGAGGCGAGGGCCCATGGGAGCCAGGGAAGCTGAGCGAAGGTCCCGCGCGAAGCGAACTGGACGCCGCGGGAGAGAACAAGGCCTCAGACCCAGCACCAAAGTTGAAGCTGCCGCTCGTGCCTGTGGGGGACGTCGCGGGAGGAGAGGCTGCGGAGGGTGTTGGCAGGGGCGTTGTGCCCTGGTTGAACTCTGCCCATCGAGGACACTTGCGATTCGTTTCTTCGCAAGAGGGAGAGGATAAATGGAAGAGAGATGGGTGCAATTAGCTCAGAAAAAAGAGCCGACGGCAAAAGGATGAGGCTTACTCATGTGTCCCATCTGACCGCAATGCCCGCAACGACGCTGGAAAAGCCAAGACGTAAGTACACATGAGCATGGAGCAAGTGGACGGGCGGAGCTTACAGTGGTGTCGGGTTTGATAGGACGACTGAGTTGCAGCGGCGTCCCGCCTTCCTTGACAATCTTCGCGTTCTTCCGATGCAGACGACGTTCCTGATTCTTCTTCATCCGTGCAATTTCCTCCTCAATCCTGCAAACACAAAAGTAACGTCAGCGCTCATGTTGACAGCCGCAGCGGGAAAATACCCATCGCACCTCTTCTTCGCTCGCCTGTCGCGGTCAGCATCGCCGGTGGGCGCAAGAGCGTCGGCAGTCGTGTTCTCCTCCTCGATCGCCTGCCGCTTCTTCACGTAAGCCTGGATGACCGCAGCATCTCGAACAATCTCGGTCTGCCACTCGCCCCCCACTAACCGCCTGATCCTGAGCACCCTCCTTGCGTCTGGACCCATGCTGCCATCACGCGCGACATCCCGCGCCAACGACGAGCCCCGGCTGTACGTCGGAGAGACCGGCGCAGGCGTCTCAATACGGATGATGCCCGACTGCGCCGGGTAGTAGCCCTCGAAAATGGACTGCTTGCGCTGCGGCTTCTTATCCGCTGCTGGGGCTTTCTTGTCCTCCTCGTCCTCCGAGAGCTCAGGCTCGTCCTTGCGGCTGAGCGAATCAAACTGCGCTTTCCAAATGCGCTCGATCTCGGACTTGTATATCTGCTGCTGCTCGGCGACGTTGTACCTGTGTGCGGATTTGGGACGGCTCTCGGCCTCGGCTATACGCATCGTCAGCAACAGTACGGACGGACAGCTCACAGGCGACATACCAAGCTTCTGCTCGTAGTCCTCACCGGCCTTCACGAAGATGTCCTTCATGGAGACGCGGATGAAGCTGAACGCCTCACCACGGCCAGTAGGGTCGCCTTCTCCGTGGAGCTTCAGCATCGCTTTGGCCTGCGTCGCGAACAAGAAGTTCTTCGTCGTGATCCACGGCGCAAGCTGCTGCTCGATCGAGAGGTTGCCCTCGTCTTCCTCTGCGACCTCGCCGTTGTAGCTGTAACCCGAGTCCTGGAGATGACGCTGGCCGACCTGCATACTCTCCGACAGGACGACTTGCTCTGGGGTGACCATCTTGAGCATATCGGTATACGAAGGGATTGTCCAGTTGCCCTTTAGACGCCAGAAACCCTGATGCTGCCCACGTCTATGGTACTCCATAAATTCCTGGGAGATCAGCACAGTGAGCCCGCTCATCAAGTGATCCGTAGTACAAACGAGTTCTACCTTTAGACGTTGTCGCATCTGCAGTTCATTCTGATCGGGGAAGTACTTCATCAAGCGAGAGATCTTGAGCCGCTTCTCAGTGCTCTTCTCGAGTAGTTTGAACGCGATGATCTGGAGGCGCTGCTTGATCGTGTTCGTTATCTTGCGCGAATGAGGTCCCGGGACTTCCGTGATGGGATAAGTCTGTCCGACCACAAAGAGGTTAGATATCTCTCGGATGTAGTATTTGGTCTCTCCTTTGGTGCTCGTGCTGAGGCCAGTTAGCTTCATGTATGCGCTGAGAAGGTGATGTAAGCACGTACCGGATGACCAGGAAGTCCGTGGGATATGCCTTATGTCGAAAGAGTGGGGCTCGAACGAGGTTATTGTAGAGCGCCGGCACTGTCTGCCCTGGATAGACAGAGCCAAACTTCATGAACGGCGACTCGTCCTGAGGCTCGATGACGATTGGCTCTCCAAGGTCACTCTATGCGAAGGTTCATCAAGGTGCCCAACCTCGAAGGGCCACTCCGATACGCACCTTCGGTATATAATCGTCTTTCTCGTTCTTCTTCCGGTAGTAGTTGACGAGAATGCTGCCCATCCCGAAGTTCGAGATGATGGGCGGGTGCTCCTCGGAGAACTCCCACAGCACGAAGTTGCTGGTGTCGCGGAGGCTGAGATCACCAGTACGGTGCAACCCTTCGCCGATGTCGCCACCTTTGCCAACTTTGCGCCCTGCCCTGTCTTTCTTCTTCTTCGCTGTACGGACCTTGCTGAAGTGCATCTCGATGTTGAGAGGGAACTGAAGGGCGGGTCGGTGGAAGGATCGCGCTTCTTGTTTCGACAGTCTTGTCTTGTACTGTAGTACATGACTGAGTGGAAGAACTAGATGGTGGACAAACTACGACTCACGAAGGGAAGCTGCAGCTTCTGCGCAGGATATGCGTGCTCGACGACAAGCTGCCCGAAGGTTTGGCGGACGCGGTGACGGCCGCCATCCTTCGACACCTCGTAGTACTGGTCGTTTGAGATGTTAAACTTGTCCTTTGGCAGCTGAGTGTCTGTACGCAGCCGCTTGCGTGGCCGAGCAACCTCTAGCACTAAGCAGTGAGCATGAGCCATCCGTATGGCCTTCTCCACTTTTCTGACCCACCTGCTGGCTTTTCCTCCTGGAACATGTCCTGCTCGTGCAACTCCAGCTGAGTGAAATCCCGGAACGGCTCGCGGGGACCCCAGATGATACTTTGAGTCCATAGACCAGTCTCGAGCGTCTTGTTCATCGGCGTCGTGAGGTTATTCTCCGGGGGAGCGGCGGATGATCTGGCGTCGTCGTCGGCTTCCCAGACGATCTGTTCATCCCAATTCGTGATATTGACTAGATCGAATGACCGGTCATCGAATGGGAGCGATGGCAGACCATCTGAGGTTCCGCGAGCCTGAAACCGTCGTTGTGGAAAGTAATCACAAACGCACGAAAGCACACACGAACACACCTGCAGAGCTCGTCTGAGATCTGACTCAACATCCCCTGCTGCCACTACCTGCTCCACCCGCTTACTCTCCACCTGCCGCTCCGTATCTCCTACGATAGCTTGAAGGAAGTTCTTCGGGACGTCCTTCTTCCTTGGATACACAGACTCCACTGCAGTGCAACGTGCAGGTATGAGCTTCAGCGGGAAACAGGGTACACGTTTGTGACTGACCGGTGAAGGGTCGCTTGGATATACGAGACTTATGGACAGTCACTCCTTTGAACAACTCTGTGAAGTCCAGGATCTTGTCCTTCTCAAAAGTAGGAAACCGCTCGTATACAGTCTTCGGTCGCTCGACGAGCCTTCGTATGATTCGCTTGCGTCTCTGCTTCGGGCCCACCTGTGGAGACACCACCTCCATCTTGACCGGCCCAGCGTGTTCGTCCTCCTCTGCTAGCTCCCTGTCTACCTCATCTTCCCAGTCCTCGCCCTCTCCTGGCCCAACCACTTCCTCATCTTCGTCCCATCTGTCGTTATAGATCTGCTTCGCGCTGATGGAGGGGACTCCAGAAATGCCAAGTTGGTTAGAGAGACCAGGTCCTGTCGGCAAGTCAAGCCCAGAGAGAACATTATCCAGCGAGAAGCCAGTAAGAGTGGCGATGACGCTATCCTCCTCCTGGAAGAAACGCGTCAGAACACCTGGGACTAGTGTGAAATTCTAGCGAACGCACTTGGCCAGCCATGGGGACCCGTAGAATGCAACTTCGAGGGTGGCGGGGCTATAGGTGCTTAAAGACAAGGTATTGTACGAAGATCCTGAGACGAGCAGAGCACCTAGCGAGGAATGACACGTACGAGGACGTGAGGGAGAGCGGGCCAGGGGTGATCTAAGAGTGAGGACGAGGAGTGGCCACCGACGCCGCGGTCCGTGAACGGCGCTTATCAAGCTGGTGGGAACCACGATCGAGATCGAAATATGGGCGCCTCCGTAGTAAGCCCTGACGCAGGGTCGTTCCCTGCGGCGCGTCGTGCGACGGGTCCCAGCCTCGTCTCTCTCCTCCACCACGCCGACCTGCGCCACCCGCGCCATTTTTTGCGTCAATACCTCTCTCAGTCCTATCTGCTCCTGTCAGCATGTCATCCAAAGTTGCGCTGGACAAGGACACTAAGAAGAGACTAGACGTGAGAGACCTTCCGTCATTAGGCAGACGCGTAACTCAGGACGGGCTTGCTCGTATTTCTTGCATCGGTAATAGGACTTCCGCAGCACTGTTCATAAGGCCGCAGAGGATATTGTCTTTAAGACTTTCCCCAACAAGGTCCGTAAGTATCATCTCTTATGGCTTCAAAGTAGCTGACACTTCAGCCACAATAGGTTCTGTGAGTCTTCCCCAGCGCACTGGCCACTTGCGCACCTGCTCACAGGTTTGTCCTAGTGAGCTCCAAAAGCTCATCGACTCTACTTATGAGTCCAGCTCGCCCTTCCATCTGTCGCATGCCCCGAAGAGCACTGACACCACTGTCTACCCTGCACCTGTACCTTCGTCTGAGCCCGAACCGAAGAAACGGAAACTAGAGTCCGGAGATGCCGTAAATGGCGTCACCCACACCGACGCTAAACATGCGAAGCATCCCGGGAAAATGGTTTCAAATCAGCACATCGTCGCCCTCCACGACCAGCTCAAGCGCGAATGCGAGACTCTGGCCGAGCTCTGTGTGAGTACTCATATCGCTGATTAATCGACGTGAGGTTATATCCATATACCTCAGGACAAGGTCAAGCTATGGATCAACCTGTCGATGCCTAAGTGAGTTGTGTCCCAAATGTCGGATGAAGCATCTCGTTCACACCCGTTTTCTCAGGATCGAGGAGTAAGTCTGGTGTGCTCTAATAGTGTATGATGTCGCTAACAGGTTTGTTAAGTGGAGATAACTTTGGTATGTGCTCATCTCTGCACCCACGCATGCTGCAGCTGACTGTGTCATTTAGGCGTCCAGATCCAGGAAGGTTTGTGATTCCCAGCAGCTGCAGCTCCTCTGACCATGCTTTGACGCTCGCTATAGATTGTCTGTCTGAGTTGCATCGCTCACAAGAGAGCGCATACAACCTCCGGGACGCAGCTCGCCAGGACTATCTGACTCGTGCCAAGATATGTAGCAAAGTCATGAAGTACCCTCACCTCGAGGATTACCAGGTGAGCGCAAGCGCAGCCTCAATCAATCTGCTCGTTGTTCATACGCATCACATAGCTGGCGCTGAAGGAGCATGATGAGAAACAACTTTATGTCGCCCGACAAAACCTTCATGACTTGCGGTCCATATATGCTGTTCTTATGGACATCCTGCATAAGAACATCGAGAAGGTCAGTTTGTCTCTCCGGGGGGACTTCGCCTAACCTCATAACCACATTTTCAGATCCGTTCACCGAAGGGTAATAACTCGAGCTCCATGTACTGATGCCTATAGTGGCTGCAGATATCGATGCTTCGAATGTTTGAGACTACGGTGGACCGTAGACTTCATCCCCATGACTCTATGACACCGGACGTTGACCCTAGAATCGTATACGACCGCACGCTTGTGTATCATAGCGAACACTCCTACTCTAGATTCAAATGCTATCTTGTGTTCCCGACAGAGGATGACGCGACACGATACAATATAGGTTGTTCGAACTGCTGACAACACATAACACCATACAAATCCAAGGATACAAGTGGTCGATCATACAGAGATCGTTTTGAAGATGTTGAACCCGTCGTACGCAGTGCTTATGACCGCGCCTGGGATCTGTGGGTGCCAGTGGACCTCCTTGACGTCCTTCTGGCCCTGATGCACGAACAGAAGCTGAGGAGGGACCTCGCGTCCACCCTCGGTCGCATCCATCGGACCAGCCTCTTCGTCGTCTTGCTCGACCGCGAGGTCCCAGAGCGTGACCTGGTCATCGGCGCCAGACGCGGCGAAGATAGAGTCCTCCGTTGGATGCCACTCGATGGATGTGATGGGCGCTGTGTGCCAGGTGAACGCAGCAACAGGCGAAGGATCTGGCGCGGTGCTGTAGCGGAATGCGTCAGTAATACAGTCCATCGTGACCACACCTCCATCGCGCTCACCCGGCTTTCTTGACATTCCGCAGGTCCCACACCTTGATCCCGCCCTCGTCGCCGCCGCTGAGCAGAAGGTACGTCGTCGCGCGGTTCCAGCTGATCACGTTCACGTCGCTCTCGTGCGCGCGCGCGATGCCCGCGACGCTCTGTCGGCCCTTCGCGCGCACATCCCACACCCGCACGCTCTGGTCCGCCGAGCACGACGCGAACACGGTCGGCTCGCTTGGGCTCCACTGCAGGTCCTCGACGCTCGACGTGTGCGACGCAAACGGCTGGGCGAGCGCGTTGAACCCGCTGGGCGTCGTCGTCGTCAGGAAGATCTTCGCGTGCACGTCGCCCGTGAGCAGGCGGAGCGCGGACGGGTTCGCGCCGCCCGACGCGGCCCAGTCCATCGCGAAGCCCTCGGCGCGCCCGTGCGAGCTGATGGTGAAGGCGGGGGTGTGCGTGCGCGATTTGTCGACGGCGTAGCCGGGGACGTCGAGCGCCTCGATGAGCGGGCGGACGTCCCATATGTGCACTTTGCCGGTCTCTGCCCAGCTTGCGACGTAGTAGGGTTGGGATACGGGAGGGAGGGGAGAGGATGCGGGAAGGGGTTGTGCGCGGATGCGGTTGACGCCGCCTAGGTGTGGGACCGAGCGGTGTTCGAGGACGGGGTCTTCGTCTAGTGCGTCGTCGTCCTCTTCGTCCTCGTCGTCCGTGTCTTCTCAAGTGTGTTATTTTGAGATGGAGCTAGTATCTTGTTCAGGTGCTTACCGTGTTCCTTTTGTGTCTTATGCAATGAGCTCATCTTGTAGACTTGGATCTCGTTGTTCTTCGCTACATCAGCCTGGGTGCCGGTAACGATGTACGCGGTTGCAGGGTATCGTTGTCTCTGGTCCCCAAGGTTGTCCCGGAGAACGTCAAAGGAAAGACATGGCCAGTTGACAGTCATGTTGTGCCGCATGATATACACTGAGTCGTCCGGTTCGAGGATCTCATCCTTCCCTAGTTTATGGACTCCGGGTATGAAGGCTTCGGGTGCTTGGGGAGGCTCTTCGGACTCTTCGATCGGGGGCATAACCTCGTCGTCCACATCCATAGCTACGCCTCAAAGTCAGGCACCATAGGGACTGTACCCGCAGTGCAAGACGTACAGTCATCTCCCTTCCCCTGCTCACCATCTACGACGTCCTCATCGCTCTCGTACTCGTCCTCCCATCCGTCCTCAAACTCGCCCATCTCGTCGTCCGCAGCATCTTCCTTCCGTTTTGACTCCGACCTAGGAGTTTTGCGCGGCTCTAGGTGGCTTCCAGACGAGGAGTTGACTTCTGTTGCAGAACGCTTAGACATTTTGAAGCATTAGGGTGCAGGATATCAAGGCTTTCTGCTTATGAGCGCCTGATCATTTCGCATCCAATTTTTAGAAGCGCCGAAGATTAGGACCACGTGGGTGCCATCGACAAACCCAAATCGGGTACAGTTGGACGTGGGAACCCGAAGGAAGCGGGATTATCGCTTCCCAGGGATTCGGAAGGTGCAGTGGGTGCGGGGAAAGTTGGACAAAGTGCCAGCTGCCCATTGGCGTTGGGGTGAGCCTCGATCATTTGTCGAAGGCTGCCGTGTCTCGCTTGCAATCTTGACGCTGCGTGGCCTGTGGGACTCTTTCTAGCACGTTCTTCCTTATTCCTTCTTGTTGCATTGAGCCTGCTGCCATCCTTTGAGTCTCAGGAGCGTTCTAACGTCCAGAGAGTATCTCGCGGACGCACCGCGCTCCTACCATGCTGACAATAATATGTACTCGACTGTCATCTAGGCTGTAGAGGTGGCCACGTATATACTCTGCTGACATGGCCAATTTTAACTCCGATTTGAATCCATGATCAGCCGTCCGCCGTGGGGACGCGTATACTTTCAACGTAAGGATGTATTTTCCGATGTCCGCCATTCACGTTCTCAGGGATATAAGTAGCCATGTCCAGGAGCGTTGCCACCAGCACTTCCCACTCCTTCCTATTTGCCACGTTCCTTGACTACGTATCTATCTCCCTTGCACAAGAAGAATGTCCGGCATTGTCCTTCACAAGGAGTACGTTGATGACCACAGTCGCGAGCGTCCATCTGCTTTTTCCTCTGACTGACTGTGAGGCACTCAGGTTCGCGTACCCCGTTGCCGCGGCGGTGTCCACCTTCTGGCTCCTTACGTGGCAGACCATTCGAGTCGGTGCCGCCCGTAAGCTGGCTAAGATCGACTACCCTCAGGGTAAGGTTCACCTATCCTCAAAGGTTCGGGAACGTACCCACTGACATTTTGCTGCAGTCTACGCCGAGAAGGCGGAGGCCGCTGTCAACCAGGCCGCTCAGAAGTTTAACTGCGCGCAGCGTAAGTTCTATATCTCGATGATGGTGGACCGTTGTGCGGTTGTGACACACTCATACAGGCGCCCATCAAAATACTCTTGAGGTCCTCCCGGTTATCCTCACGGGCACTCTTGTCACCGGGTTGAAGCACCCTATCGCCGCCTCAGCCCTCTGCGGTACTTGGGTCTTAGCTCGTGTCTTCTACACCATCGGCTACTCGACCGGGGACCCCAAGAAGGTGCGCAACTTGCGAGTTTTCGAGAGCCAATTATAGACACTTACAGATATCGGGCGTAGCGCAACATGCTCAAGTCTTCCACTATCGGCGGTCTGGCACTATTCGGTGAGTTGCATCGGTGCAAGTTGCTGTACAATAGCTGACTGGGTGGAAATGGTGATTGACCAGGCCTTGTTTTGACGTCGACTGCTTCTGCTGTCGCCTTTGTGCGACAAGCCCTGGAGGTTTGATTCATAGACGTTATACTATACTTGTAATGGGTAATTCACTGCGATGCAGCAAAATGATCAGTATCTCTGTATACTGCCTTGTTGTTGACAATGGTGGATTGTGTTTGTCCAACAAGCCATTCAAACGCTATGGGAATGTGGGATTAGCGCCGTCAATAGGGCGATCCGAGCGCGTGTACAGATACCGAGAGCCTCCCGATCTATACCACCGCTGACCTCGACAGCGCAATCCTATTCTCTCCTGTCTTCTATGTGCACCTTCCTAGCTTGCTGGAATCATCAACTCGCCGTTTCGGATTGAGTCCAACATGAGTCCTCACCGGGAGCGCCCTACTGTGCACCTACCAATCATCCGCCCCTCTCTGCCCACATCTTCGTCCGACTTCGCATTGCCGTCCTCTCCATCAGCCTCCTTACCTCCAAGTGCCTCTGACGATCTCAGTCCCTTCCTGCTTCGACTGCGACGCCCCAGCCTGCTCAGCCCTAGGAGTGGGAGCAACCCACCTCCAGACAGCCGCCTCCACAGCCCGCTCATCACCTCCTTCACCCGCCGGTACAGCTCCAGTGGGAACGGAGAGGACTCTGAGAGCGACCGAGACAAGATGTCAACAGACAGCGATTCGGGCAATGCCACGCCCCTCCTCCCCGGGCCGCAGATCGACACAGAAAGCGATACGACGATGAAGACCAGCCGTTCACGGACGCCCCCTCGCCTGACCTCTGCCTCGAGTTCGAGCTCGGGTAACGAGGATGGGCCGGGACCCGTGCGCGCGCACAATCGCAGGCTCTCCCATCCGGTGCGTTCTACTTCCCTCTCTCGCCCATACCCATACCCCTTCACTGCTGTTCCCCACCGCTTCTCTCTTTACCGTCCTGTCTGCCCCGCACCTCGTTTTCCGCTTCCTCGCACCTTCATCCGCTTTCTCCTGCAGCTCCCTTGGCCCACCTACACCATGCCCCCGGCGAGACCCGCACATTCCCGCATCTACTCACGCACGCGCGAACAGGTTCGGATTCCGCGCATTCTCTCGCTCGTGGCAGACTCGCACATGCAGGAGAACGAGGTGCAGTCCGAGGCGCAGTTCCAGCGCATACTGGCGTCGTTCAGCGACCCTCCGAAACGTCCCCGCACGCCGCGCCCCGCGTCCGACCGCGGGCGGTACCCCGAAGAGGTGGGCGAGGATGAGGCGCAGAGGGAGTCGACGCCGAGCGACGACGAGGACTTGGACGATAGCGTGCCGTTTGCGTACACGGAGTCGAGCGCGCCGACGAAGCCGGTCACCCCTGCGCAGAGTATCAATGGAGACGACCCCTTAAGCTTGATGCTTGAGAGTCCAATTGGAGGGGTGGCGATGGATGTCGACATGGTACGTTCCTATTCTGGGTCATCCCTCTGTCACTGCGTGTGGCGGCGGACCTCATGCTCAACCGGGCGCATACAGCCATCCTCAGCGGTGTCTTCGCCGATTGTGTCATCCTGGCGGTACACGCCACCGCCGACATCGACGAGTGCCGTGCGGAACAATAAGAGGAAGCGTATGTCCTGTTGAGTGCCACACTCGCTCCTTCCCGGTTTTCGGTGCTGACTGCGCGGCCTTACATCCTGTGCAGTCGACGAACGGTACGACCCCTATCCCACTGCGGCGAAGCGGCGCGCGGTCTCCCCATCGATTTCGCACCTGCGCGAGGCATTCAATGGGCGGTTGTCTGGCGCGGCACCTCGTCTCACCATGCCAATCCCTATTCCGATCCCGAACGGCGTGCATTCTGGGGCATCGTCGCCGAGCGTCCCTGGCTCGAGCTCGTACTGGTCAGCGCGGCAGAGCTTCGGTTCCGCGAGCGTGCTCTCCAGTCCGACGCTGCGCGCACAGATTGGGCTTGCGAGCCCGATACTCCGTCCGATGACCCGAGCGCGACGTGAAGGAGAGCGAGACGTCGAGAATGCGGAGGAGGGCGTCAATGGGTTGAGCATCGTATGATCGCCTCACAACGTTGTCTGTCTTCTGTGCGCAGTCTTGAAAGTATCGGAAGGATCTATAATCCTGGTCGTACTGTACGTAACTTAATCCCTCACTTACCTGCTGATCTTCTAGTCCTTGCGCGCATCGTCAGGGGCACCGACGACCCTGCATGCCTGCCTGTATATACTAGGGACACTGTAACTGTACCGCTAGACGTCTCTCGCCACTGTATATCATCATCGTCTCTGCATCGTCGCAACAGTCGCATTTGTCACATGTGTCGTAGTTCCAGTACCGTACTGTATATGTACATGCATCTTCTAGCACGCTGCACTCCATGGTCGTCTTGTGGCCCATACATGCTTCCCATATTCTGACCTTGCATCTAGCTGCCGCGGTATGTCGTGTACGAATATGGGCTGATGAGCAATGGTATATGATAGTGCTCCGTTGGGCTGGGCACCTCAAAGGTGATCTGCACGAGAGTGATGAGTAATTGCAATAAGAGTGAACATAAAGTGTAGCTACCTCAACCCATGGATAGAAGGACTTCCGGCCAGTACCTTCGAAGTAGTCCTTTGTCTTGAAGACGACCTTGTAGAGGTTCCCGGCTTGGAGTTTGATGAGGTCTTCCCTCTTCTGTCCGGGGCCGGCCTCAGGGTACAGCTGCATACAGCGACCGTCGTGATCGGTTACACTGAGGGGTTTACCTGAGTTTGGGATCATGTTCATTCTGGGGATTGCACGTACCCATCGGCGAGCACATCAAATCCGGCTGTGGGTCCATCGGCGGACTTGAGTTTTTGGAGCTGTACAGGCACTCCCGCGGCTGGCCTGCCGACAGAGGAATCCAGCACTGTGTTTAGGCGATGATCAGCAATACGTCGCCTCCGACAGTTCCTACGCACCATGGCAGGTTACCGGTGACTTGGACATGTTCACCGTCGTATTCACCGCTCGTCGAAAGAGTTTGTGGAATCGTGGCCAACTTGATCGGAGGCGGCCCGAGATCTCCGCAACGCGTCGTGAGCTTAATTAGAACGGGCGCCTGCGCGCACAGTCGACGCCGACCCCATCTCCTTCCGCACTGCTCTTCTCTGCTTCCCTACCGACCTCTGCCGCCGCACGCAGCATGGCGCACAACACGGGTGACGGCGAGCACGACGCTCTTCCTGCTGCTAGGACTCACCGGGTTCCTGCTGGTTTCTCCTTCAACGACGACGCCTTCTCCGACACAGAGGACGTCGACGTTCCCGAATTCTCTCCCGCCCAGATTCGTGAAGAGCTCGCGAAGAACTTGAATGGCATTGCGAACGGAAATGGAGGTGCTTTGGACAGCTGGCAGGCTCACGGGCTGGATATGGACGACATTGTTGCAAAGATAGGGTACTCAGTCGACCCCGATGCGTCTGTCTCGACGTTCGACATCGACGCTGGACACGAGTCCGTGCCGTCATCTCCCTCGTCGCAGGCGAGGAGACCGTCTCCTCGCATGATCTCTCAGGCGTCCTCGCACCAGGATTCGCTCTATGAGGTCACCCTCTCTTCGGACCTTTCGAATGTCTCTTTGTCCGACGACCCTTCATCACCACCACCACCACCACCACCACCCGCATTACATGACGGGAACACAACAGAGGCCTTCGCGGGATATCCTGCGGTACAAATCGACTTGTCAGGACCCCAAGCGCAGGCGACCGAGATGCGCTCGGACGCCCGTCAGTCCGATGACTCCCGCCTCTCCGAAGACCATGAGCCATCCCCGCGCCCGCACGCCCAGTCCATGGACGAAGTCCGGAAAGGCCCTCCAACACCGCTCGACATCCCCCTTCCACACACCGCCTCAGCATCCACGTCCGCCCTCCCGCTCCCACTACCCACCTCGACCTCCCTCCCCACACCCACCACGGCGAAGCTCACCGAGCCGCCGACGCCCACGGCGCGCCACCGCCCGTCGCGCTCCGTCGGCCCGAGCATGCTCGACAAGGTGATCAGCAAGACGCGGCCGCCGTACCTGCCCCCGAAGCCGCGCACGGAGGACAGGAAGCACCTGCAGGACTGGGAGGACATGATGAAGCGCAGTCGGGCCGCCGGTGAGTGCGCTTGGTCTGCCGGCCGTCTCTTTGAGGCCTCACGAATGAACGAACGTTTGTTAACGTAGTCTGTGCCTCCCCCCTCCTGGTACCGGATCTTGGCCCTGTGCATATATGCGCGTGCGCTGGATGATGACATTGCGATGTGGCTTCCGGGCGTATTTGCGACGTGCCTTGCAGAGGAGAAGCGGCGGCAAGCGCTGCTGGAACGCCGGCTGGCGCGCGAGCGACGAATAGAGGAGTCTATCGGCGTCTGGGAGCGCGAGATCGTGCCCGACTGGACGGTGGTGCACCGAAACACGCACCTGCGAAGGGTATGGTGGCAAGGTATCCCTACCAAGCTACGCGCGAGCATGTGGCAGGCCGCGATCGGGAACCCGCTCGCACTGAGCAAAGGTATTGCGCGTCAAGGCTCAGTCATGGCAGGCCAATTCTGACCGATGATATCTTAGACTCATTCAAAACTTGCTTATCAAGAGCAAAGAGAGCACTAGCTTCAGGTTCGTTTCCAACGACTGTCCTGAGGTTGCTAGAAGACGATATCCGAACAACCCTTCCTGCAATACACCTATTCACGCCGGAGAAGGGCCCTCTATATCAGGACCTCAAGGACATGTTGTGCGCATGGGTTGTTGCGCGGTCGGACGAGGGTTTGGGATATGTGGTCGGGGTGGCGAAGATCGCAGGCATGATTCTCATGAATATGTCGCCCGCTCAAGGGTTCATCGTCATGCGGAACCTGCTCGAACGACACTGTTTGCGGTCTTTCTACGGCGGTATGGCATCAAAAGACGACGTAAGTGATGTCTGGCTCGTGAGCATATCAACGGGCTGATCTACCGCAACCCAGGTGGAAGCATACTACAGGTGATATTTTTTCTAGGTTCTTCAACAACAATCCGTCTTACCCCTTGCAGGATCTTCGATACCCTTCTCGCGGATGGGATGCCCAAAAGTGAGCCTGAGATTGACGCTTCCGTGTGCAGGTAATCAGCTAATCGCGGATCTTAGTCTATTTCAACTTCAAGCAGCACCAAGTATCACCCGCAGCGTACCTTCCAGACTGGTTGATACCACTATTCTTAGAGCATCTTCCGTTCGAAGCTTGTGCACGAGTCTGGGATGTCATCTTTCTGGAAGGAGATGCGTTCCTGTACCGTGCGGCACTCGCCATCCTCGGTGTCCTAGAGCCACGTCTATTCTTCCCCGACAAAAAAGAGCTTCTCGAGCTGCTACGGTCTGTGATTATCTATCAGAGCGTTTTTGCGCCGCTGACACCCGGATCGACTTGATACAGAGGGGAGAACAAGGCGGCGCTGGAAGTGGCGAAGCGGGACGGGCGGACGGTCGACAATGGCAAGTACGAGATCTACAACCTCGACGAGGAGAACCTCTGGGAGCGCATAGAGAGCATGGACGAGTGGTGGCGGGAGAGCACATGGAAGAGGCTAATCGAGCGAGAATTGCCGGACTTGTAGAAAACCGGAGAGGTGTATGCTGGGACGTTCTGGTGGGGTGTACGTTCGGTCGCTTTGCGCTAATCTTATTACATTTTGAGGATACACATTCGTTATCCATGGCTCGAACGTCGACCGACCTGACGAACAGGACAATCACGGTCAACTGAATGTCCAGAACGTTCACTGACCCACATCGTATCGCGGCCGAGGGATTTCGAGCTCGACCCCTGCCTTGCGCGACAGAGACCACGGTCCGGAACCGAGGACATTACAAATGCGTTAGGCAGGGGTTTGTTTGAGCTTGTGGGTGGCGCCCGACTGGGGTTCTAGAGAAACCTTTTCCGGCCAGAACGCCTATCGACCCCACACGTGACCGTGGACCAGACCCCGTCCTCCGCGGACCGCAGTTGTCCAGGCCCGCCGCAACACCGGCGGGTTGCATGTCTCGGCGTGCAATCCATTCCCTGTCAAGGGGGTGTTGGCCGACCTGGGGCTCGTCTGTCCTGGGCTGGGCGACGCGTTCCGAGTCTTACCGTGGTCTTTGCGCGATAGGCAAGACACACGGCTACGGCTGTGGCGTGTTGCGATATGGGCCTGGTATTTAAGATGGGGCTCAGCCCCTCATGAGGTCTTCAGTAACACAAAGCATCTCTTGTGGACACATCCAGTCCTAGCAGCGCACTTCTCCACTCAAACCACACACCACTCTCACCTACCCCACCGCTCAAACGGCTTACAACTCAGCGACCAAATGGCTCTTCCACCTCTCGTCGTCAGTCGCGCCCCGGTAGGCAGCTTTCTCCACAGCAATCCGCATCGGGAGCATGCACTCATCCCACATGCGACTCACAGTCAATCCTCCTCTTTACCACACTCGAGGCAGGCCTCGCCTTCTTCGTCTATTCCCAGTGGAAGAAGCCAAGGTTAGCGTGCCAATCCTTTCTTCCCCATCCAGGCGTCTGACTCGCGCTTATTGCTGCATAGCCTTATTTCCGGCCCTCTTCCCTCCGCGATCCCCAAGGGATACATCGGCCGCGCCCGATTCGCGAAGCACGACTGCCAGCCCATTCACGTCACCGAGACGCTCAATCTCAAGCACCAGACCCACTAGGCTGAGGCTCTGGGAGCGCGACTTGGAGGATCTCATCCCTATACTAAACGACAGCATCATTTGGGACTAGAGGGAGGATGGAGCGGTGGTCTGTCCCATACACGATGGGCCACCGTGCTGGAGTCGGAGACATAGATCCTTACCTCTGGGTTCCGGTTCCGGATAGGGATTGACGGACTGCACGGCACGAAGATACCTGTACAAAAGCACGACAAATGTATCATTATAATCGCACGGATACGAAGTACCTCCCTAGCTGCCATCCAGGTCCCTCTTGCCCGACCTTGCACCTGAGCCTGAGCTGTCGTCCTCATCCTCTATATGCTCCTTCCAGAAGGCGTATAGCTTCCGCCGGTTTGCGTCACGAGTGTCTGGCTCGCTCGCCACGTCGAAGACCTGCTTGAGCACGGCTTTGCGGAGAGCGAAGGGATCGAGCGAGCCCTCTTTTGGTGGGTTTGTCGTACACGCGTTCGCAGCAAGGTTCGGGAACTCTGGCGTCGACAGGCGCGGTCGTTTCCGACTTGGCTCGTCTGAGTCTTGTCGGGACGCGAACGCGGTGAGGAGGGGCTCTAGCAGAGCAGACTGTATGCGCTGAAGAGTGATGGATGTCGGTGTCCGGGCGGAAAGGGCGAGGAAAGGGGCGAGGAGGGTGGAGAGCGGCGCAGGAAGCGGTGATTCTACTGGTGACTTCCCGAGGGCTTTATCGAGCTCCTCCAGGTAGATGTCGGCAAGGTGATATGCGAGGCTGGTGGGCACTTTCGTGTCGTCGGGACTGGAGACAGCGCTCAGAGCGTGTAGGGCATGGGGAAGCAGCAGATGACATACCGCAGGGGTCCTCCGCGGTCTGTGAGGATGGAGTTGTACTCTTTGACGGCAGCTGCCTCCCAACCTTCCCGGATGAGCAGTCGGAATGACGCGTTCACGAAACGGCGGACGAGCATGTAGTACTTGTCGATGCTGTCGCAAAGAGGTTAGGTATTTGGACAGCGGAATATATGGATCTACTCACCGCAACCGGTCTATTGAGTTCCATTCCTTGACAGTAGACTCCCAGAACCCGCGCAAGAACGCCAACGATACGGACAAACTCGAGATGGCGAGGAGGATGTCTGCAATCTCGGAGGCAAGCGCTTGCTGCACGAGGGGTTTGTCGGACATCCAGAAACCTGCACGACTATCGATGGGCCTGCTGCTCGTGCGGGGACAGAAGGGGGCGAATACGCACAGTAGAATACGCCCTTCCATAGCTTCGCCATCTCCGACTTGGGTAGGGCGTCGCGTGAGGGATCAGATAGAAAAGCGGCGAGATTTTTTATGGCTTTATCCCTTGTTTTCTTGTCTTGGCATGCATTAGCACGAGTGTTCCGCACTTGACACGGAAGTGAGGAGGACGTACCGGTTGATGCAAGGTACTTGCCAAGCGGCGGGCCATTGGCAGAGGCAGAGTCAGATGCCATTAGGTTGGTTCTGGTGCGCTATCGAGCCGTGTGGGTGATGATGCGTGGAAGAGTCAGAAAACCAAGGTGAGCAGGCACGGACAAGGGAATTCGGGGAGAGAGCGAGGAGGAAGCAGCGCCAAAAGTTTTTCCGTTCTGCTCGGACAGTGCGCGTTTGTCGTGTAGCATCTCGAGTAGGCTCGACGCGTCGCGCGCCCTGCACACCGCGTCTTAATCTCCTTCTTCACTTTGCCTGGTTTCGTCGCGACTCGTGCTCAGCACTGTCGACACCTTTTCTCTCTGCTACATTGTCCTTGGTTGTGTCAGTGTCGCCGCAATGATCGCAGAGGTGCTTCTGGTGCTCGCAGGCCATTCGTCCTCACTATTTCCAACCGATCACAAGGTCCACCCTGCCTTCGCGCCCCTTCTCCATCCCGGTGAGGAGCAGTGTCTCGAGTCTTTGGGGCAGATTGCTCTCCGCTACCGCAAGATCAAGGACGCGTGCTCCGTCCTCGCCCGCCCATCCTCCCGATATGTATCTGCACTCTGCGCGACACTCAACCAGATCCTGAAGGACGAATATGAGGTGCTCGTGGTGGAAACGGAGGCGAAAGTATTGAAGAGGGATAGCAGCCTTGTTGCGAGTGGGTCGTTCGTACCGCTCTCCTCCTTGCGTGCGATCTTTGCCGAGTGGGACGCACCCCTTGCATCCCTCGAAACCCTTGTCGACGACCTGCAAGCCCACGAGCACTGGAGGCCGGGTCCCCTCATCGACCTTCTCTTGACGCGGTCACAGACCGGTATCCACCGTGTCTCGTCCATATATGCGCGACTCTCGGAAGCTGTCCAACGGGTCTGGATCGCGCAGCTACAAGCCGTCTTGATTCACGGTACGCTCTCGCCAAACGACCCCCTCGCCGACAAGAATTACGTTCTAGTAGAGGGCGCTGTCCCCTCTTGCGTCTCTGTCCAATCTCGCGACTCCATCACTTATGTTGGACGCGCCATCGGGACGGTCAAAGCTGCGAAATGGGAGAAGCAGTTTCCTCAAGACCTTGCGCGAGAACATACCAAGCTATTGAACACCGTCATTCCACAGGACCAGTATGCCTTTGACCGTGTCATCTCAGACATTAGGACGGCTGTTAGTGAGTGGCTATGGCTAAACGTCTTGACGCACAAAGATGTGGACGAAGCAGTGGAGTCTCTGTGGGTACCCTACGCATATATTGTGACGAGTTGCCGCTAACTCTTATGCTACCCATCAGGGCGAACTACTTCCTACTCCGCAACGGCGAGTTCGCGCTCTCGCTCATTCGCGAGATTGAACGACTCAAGCTGTCGAGACTCACGGGGAGGTCAGTCCCCAGCACGATGATACGTGAACAGGACCTGCACCTCGCACTGCTACGTGCATCGCTCGGAACGACCGCTCAGCAGGATCCTTCTCTCGCAAACCTTCACTTCCGCCTACCAACGGGACCGATACGACCCTTGCTCCCCTCGCTCGCAGGCGGCGCAAAGGACCTCTCGGCCTCGCTCTCTAGCCCAACAGAGCCCACGTCCTTTGATGACCTGCTTCTAGGTACTCCGCTCGTACTCGCGTACGATGTCTCCTGGCCACTCGACCTCTTCCTGCATGCGTCAGATCTACAGCTCTACGCCGCCCTCTTCTCGTACCTCTCCGCCCTCCGCAAGACGCATACGCGCATACACACCTGCTGGACCGCGCTGTCGAACGCGCAGCGTGCCCGGAGGCGGTGGACAGGCCTGGGAGAAGGCGGGACGGCCGAGGATCTCGAGGTCCGCAAGCAGCTCCTGCGCTGTGGCTGGGGCATCGTGAGGGAAATGACCTGGTTCCTCGACACGTTGCTGGGATATGTCATGACGGACGTGGTCGACGTTGAGTTCAGACGGCTCAAGAGTCTTCTGTCAGGGCGTCCCACTGGCGGCGTGGGCCGCCAGATGACCGGCAGTGGTTCGGCGGGTGCGGTGGCTGGCTCGGGCGATGATAGGATAGGAGCGGTGCCTCTCGGAGCGTCCAAGACTGGGTCGACGTTTCATCCATCCCTGAGCACGGGCTCGAACTTGTCGTCTGGAGCGCCTCCGTTGGACTTCACGACGCTGCGGAGCATACATGCGACGTACCTCGAGCGTCTCCTCACTGGGAGCTTGCTTGCTAACCCAGCCTTGACAAACATCATTCGTATGATCTTGGAGGTTTGTGAGCGATTCGCGGCGCAGGTCGAGCGGTGGGGTGGGGACGTCCTCCCTGCACTGCTGTTCGAGGGGAGCCTCGCGGCGGGTGGCGGCGACAAAGTCGGAGAGATGGTGGCAGAGCGATACGCTATTGTGGGCGAGATTGACGTGGTACGTGACTGATGTCTTTTGCTTTGGTCCTTTGCACGCCGAGATTGTCTTGTTGCGGGGTCAACTGACTCGCGGTATTGTTGTTTCAGACACTTCACACGCTCCTCGACGCCTTCTACGAACAACTCTCCCTCTCTACGACGCTGCAGCCGTTCTCCGCCACGATCGACGCGACGAAGTCGATGCTCTATAATGCGAGCATGACGAATACGACCGGCTTCGGGTTCCACACCTTCGTGCGCACGCGCCGGGGGAAGCGCCTAGAGGGCGACGAGGAAGTCCGGAGACACGTGGAGCGCCTTTTGCTCCGGTTGGACTTCAACGGCCAATTCTCCAAGCCGTCGGCTAGGCGACATGGCACGCGCAGCACTGCTCCCGCGGGGCAAGAGGACATCCTAAAGCAGGGCGGGCTGGCATAGGGCTCGCTTAGCCTAAAGTTGTTGGAGGTTGAGGGGCAATGATTGAGCTTTGGCCGACTACGTTCAATGGGCCAAAGCTCTGGTTCTGATCGTGGTACGACGGTCTGTTTCGTTCCTGACAGGCGTGAACGTCTGGCCTCGCTTGTCCTTTGGTGCGGATGATCCGTTGGCTCAGCCGTCCTCGTCAAGGACAGTGCGCTGCCAATGGCTTTGCTGCCATAGAACCTGTGTGGGCTTGTTTTGCCTTCCAAGCGTTGGACCACTTTTTTTCGCTCACGACATTCCGGAAGGCTGGGTATATAAAATGCGACCGAGTTCTTTCCCCCTCAGCAGCCAGTTCCCGCATCTCCCAAACTCTACAGCGTCGCTTCATCTCAGTCTCAGGTGCGTATTGCGACGTTGGATTGAGAGACATCTACTGAGGCAACCCTTCGCAACCTCTGATAGTCAATCCTGCACGCCATGGCCACTCCACATGTCAAGGTTGTCTTCGAGGTCATGATGTGTGGTGTCAAAACCCAGACCACCATGTCCTTTGATACGATCGAAAACGTGCTCCAGTACATCGGGCAATCGACACCCCTGCCCTCCATAATCGGGCTAGATCTCCCCATGACGCCGCAGGACTTCCTTGATATAGACCGCTATCTCTGCACTAGCAAGGGCACCCTCCGCGAACTGAGGCTGGATATGGACGTGCCGGTGCCTGGCCAATATCCCTGCCACCGCAGGCAGCCGGTTAACGCACACTCGTACCCCGCGTTAGTCTCCCTCTCGGTGCACGGCTTCGTCCCGACGACGCTGGATTCCAGCTTCATCCACCTTACCCACCTGACGCTGGGCGACGTGTATTCCCAGACCCCACCTCTCTGGCGCGACCAATTCTTGGATGCCATGAAGACCTGGACGAGCCTCAAGGTTTTGGAGATCGAGGAGTACAATAAAATGATCCAGGTCCCCGAGAGCTCGAGGTTGGTCACTCTGCCAAGGCTTGAGATCCTCAAGATCAAGGATTCTCCGCACTGGGCGAGCTGTATCTTGCCCTGCTTGGATCTGCCCGGTCTGCGTCAATTGCATACCCATAGAACGTTTGCCGACCTTCCCTGGGGCGGTAACATGCTGTTCTGGGTTCCTCCACTCGGTAATGCGGTGACCAGACTCCTGCACATGATCAAGGGGGTCCATATTGAGGTCGCGCAGGATGTGTATCAGCCGACAACGATATCCACGACGGGTCCGGATGATCGTCGCGTCGTCTTGACCGCGTCTGTTATGGCGCCCATGACCAGGTGGCACCAGTGGCAGCTTGAGGTGTTGCCCTCCATCATGCTCGCTATGGCGAATGTGTTCCCCCAAGCTGCGACGTTCAATATTACGGGGGATTTCGCGACGATGGGCAAGAAGACCTGGACCGGCTTTCTGAAGACTTATCCCGAGCTCTTAGAGCTTCACATCAGGGATATCGGCCACCGCGACGGTCGGCCCCTCTTCCTCGCCCTCGATCAGTCCGAGCTAGGACCTGACGATCGTGTCCTCTGCCCGAGCTTGAAGTACATTTCTATGTACGGCGTAGCGCAGTCTAGGGAGCTGCTGCAGGAGATGCACAATGCCCTGCTATGCCGGTCGGACCACAATTTGGTGCTCGACCACCTGGATCTCTACCCACAGATTTTGGCCGAACCGGACAGCGACGACCTCTTGGAGGAGCTCCGCAGCGACATCGAGGACGCAGTCGCTGTGTTTGAGTACAAAGCGCTCAACTCTTACTAGATTACTCCCATTGTTGTGGATGGTATGGGCACAGGCTCAGAGACGGACTCGGGCTGGCGATGGCTGTGTTTTGTGCGCGTGTGTGATACCCATGTATACTACTCTTTACCCTAGTGTCTTCGTATGTACAATGATCCAATCCAAGTCTCTCGCAATCTAATCTCCGCTGTTCGATGTGCTGTCTGGAGACGGTCCCACACATGCCTTTTCGCCTCCTGTAGCTGATTCGGCTAGCTCCATAGGTGGAGAGGCAACACAGGTGAAGCTGGGGGGTCCCTGACGAGTAACGGATGCGAATCCAGTATGGCTTGATGATGTTATTCACGCCGCAGGAACAATAATCACAGTGGACGTGTGCTTATACGAGATACTTGCAACTTATATCACTACGTTGATTGCCTTCCTCATATCTTACCATCCTGCAGCGTGATCCAGCCCCGAACAAGTTGTCCCCCAGCTCGTCATGCAAGCTGCGAGTTACGACTCCTACTCTTGCGCTCGCTGTGGCATCGATGAACTCCCGCTCTTCTAAATCCTTACACGGTCAACCCTCTCATGGTCAGGAGCATCAGCATTGATATCAGATCCTGCTCCACCTTCTCCTCTGATCCTCTCGGGACGAGGAATTAGCTCATGTGTACAAGCGCCCTCCTTTCACACTAGTCCACTGTGGTACTACGCTCCTATGCTCCTCCCTCTTCAGAGTCGATGGAGGAGCCTTTGGGTTTCATATGAGCAAGGAAAGTGTTGTTGTCCGACATGGGTCGACAGAGTGGAATGCCGCGAGGCGAGATGCGCGTGGTCCCAGGCGTGGATGGCATGGGAGCGTTCGGAGACTGGCTAATACAGGTCCTTTGGAGTCGGGTGTGTTTGAGCCAGCGTGAAAGTAGAGACTACAACGGCGGTTATAACCCGAAGGGCAATCTGGCCTCGACGGTTTTTAACCTATCGGGTTATAACCGCCGTTGTAGGTGACTCCGTGAAAAGATTCGTGTAGTGGGGAGGGCGCCATGATTTGGGCGTACCAAGGCAGTTTGCCAGTGTTACGTGACGTTTCGAGCCAAAACTCGACAATAAAGAGTATGGCACTCCTACAAGAGGATCTTGGGGAAATATGGCGTTCGCTGAAGAAAGTCAGAATTGTTGGACGGTTCCGACACCTTCGTCGTAGAAGGAGAACAGGGTTCTAGTCCCCTCCCTCATGGGAGCCTTCTATGAAGTGTTACGTGACGTGAATACAGACTGTTTGCACAGCCCCTTGCGATAACCTCTCACCAGCATCTGAGGCCTCCCTCTCACCACTCGCTGACAAGGCAGCTACGTAGATCGCAGCTTAGCTGGAGGCCACTTGAAATACTCGCGGGTGATGAGGTGCTATATTTCGCTCAATCGGTTAAAGTATGCTGAAGCAGCGGAAGGACGTTATAGCGGTTGGTTTCTCAGGCAACGTTCGCCGTCCGCTGACTGCCCCAGCCGGTATCCGCCGACAGCGAAGCACATGTCAGTACGCGCACACAGGCTCAAGCCATGTATAGAGACTCTGGCTTACGAGTTGGCTCGTCCACCGGCGGTTTGGGAACTCGTGGACCAGTGGCAGAGAAGTGATACACAGACTCAGGATGCTTCGTGGCGTGCACGGAGCCCATGCAGGATCGTTGGCATGTAGCGGAGTTACTCATGTGGCGGGGGGCGTCGGGTTTCCAAAGACAAGATGCAAATGGTCCTAGGTACGTACTAATGACATTGGCCTGGGCATGGTAAGCGAAGTTAACGAACAGGTGCATTGAGCGGGAGGGCTCATGATGCTATAACAATGCAGATCAACGGTGAGATGTTCAATTGTCATGGAAACCGTATGTGGTCCGCACGCCACCCCGCGATCGCCCTTTCAAACGTTCAGAGACTGACAGAGCGCGTTAAGGACACTTGGGAGTCTACAAAATCCGCGAGCTCAGGCCCCAATGATGTGTGAAACCTTGGCCTGCATGTCGCCTGCGTGTCTAACATCGTTCAACGTGTGCGCGTGCATGCCGCACGGTCAGATTGATGGGTTGCTTCACCCCACATATACTGGAGATTGCGCTATGGCCATATTCAACCGACCTGTTATATCCACGTGCCAGTCGTCACAAGCAACCGCCGTTTTCTTGTGAATTACGACAGGATGTGAAACATATCAGTGTTGCGTTCAAGCGTCCTCTGTCATGTGTGGCAAGGCGCCTGACGCACTTGAACCTACACTACACCCACTAGCGTGGCGGAATGGCACTCAGAGATTCAAGCGGCCCAAAGACAACATGAGCTTACTATGTCCGTAAGCCCATGAAATCATCACGGAACCCTCGATCCCCATACACATACACGAGCAGATCACCGCGTAGACGAGTGTTGTAGGTTGTGGTCGCTTAGACGCCATCGCAGACAGGCCAAAGCATCCCTCCAACAAGCACAGTCCGGAAAGCAATTGTATCCACCGCTTTGGCCTCAGTTGCCACTGTCACAATGCGCCGCATAGCCCTGGGCAGTGCCATTTAGCTTAGCCTACCGTTGGAGATATATATCCACAGACGCATGCGGTTTCGTCGGAAAGCACACTCAGAAGCGGAGCATCACTCTTCTTACGCAGAACACCCCAGGTATGTGTATAGGTGGTATGTATCTCAGTATCGCAAGCTCTGATTGTCCTACCAGCTCAGTCCAGTGAGTAAGCCATGATCAAGTCACCTCTCCCCATCGCGCGGACGCCGTCTACTTCCTACGTATCTGCAGCCAGAAAGCCGTACTTTGCTCCGCCTCCACCTGCGACGCAGCATACGACCCCAACACCACCAATAACGAATGCCAGATACCCGTGCCACTCTCCAGACGACTTGGTGAACGGACGAATGACGACGTTCCTCGACAACGCCGTAAATGCTCATAGCCACACCTTAGAGAAGCTTGAGCTGGTCCTTCCGCACACCAACATCGACCCTTCCCCTGTGTACACGCATGCCCTCTGCACCAATCGAATCCCTGCGCTGTGCTCGTTGCGCATCTGGGGCTTCTTCCCAGCTTCGGCCACCATGTCCTTGTCCTTCCGCCACCTGCGCCACTTGAGCCTCAGGAACTTCTATCGCTCTCTGGAGGACACTCTCATGTCCCTCGAGGAATTCGTGGGAGCTATATCGACGTGCGTTGAGCTCGAGGAGCTAGAGGTCCAGCGGTATCATCCTGCCCTGACAGTCAGCGAAGAAACCCTCCAATCACCGATCGTTACGCTGCCTAAGCTGCGCAAGCTGACAGTGGCAGACGCCCCGGAATTCTTCCCCAGACTATTCTCTTGTCTACGTGTACTACCGACCGTCGATGTCCACCTCGTCGCTCTCTTCCACGACCCGGAATACCCGAGGGACGGCCTAGAGGCGTTCGAGACGTTTGACCTCGAGAGACACAAGGAATGCCTCCCCATCCTCGATGAAGTTACTGAGGTTACGGTGGCCACTATGAACACTAATCAGGAGGACTACGGCTTGCGGATCGCGGGCAGCAGGGGCGAGGAAGGCGGGTCCTTCCTTTACGACATCCGGACGACCGGATCCATCGAGCTCATGGAGGACGTGATGCACCGTTGCAGGTTGCTCGAATGGGCGATCCAGAGGCTTTCCAAGATCTTCCCGGGCAAGGAGTGCATGCGCCGGTTCAAGGGCATCGGCGACTTCCGGGACGTCAAGGAACCCTCGTGGGTCGCCCTGTTCCAGGCCTACCCTTTGCTCGAACACCTCGAGGTCGAGGGCTGGGGAGTGAACGACGCCAGCGGACTGATCTTCGCGCTGCGCTGGCTTGACAACGCCCGCGAACCAGGGATAGTGGACGTCGTGTGCAGCAAGTTGAAGAGCATCTCAATCAGCGGCGTGCTGTACACGCCGGAGCTCATGTCGGCGGCGAGGGACACCTTGATGAGGCGGGCGAAACCCTCGACGCAGCTTGCTCTGCAATTGCATATGCTCGCATGCGATGACGCCGCGGCGTATCCCTCCGATGCCCGGGACGATGACATTGAGTTCCTGCGAAAGCAAGGAGTCGATGCCGCAATACGGGTAGAGAGTTTACTTGATCATCTCACCCGCGTGGCGCTGCAATGTGGAGTGCCAGTCGAGTCAGTCGAGTGTGATAACGAATCATAGGCAATAAATATCTGCATACTGGATACCTGTTCACCTGATAAAGAATATACCACTACCGGATAATCATCTGCGCTGTAATGCGAGCCCGCGAGCAGGGTTGAGAGGAAGACGCCAAACCATCTCGTTTCAAGAAACTAGGTAAACTATTACAAACAGGAGTATTCCGGTGAAGTCACAGCGATCATCCAAGACACACATCGCACAAGGTAAACAGAGCACGTACAGTCAGGAAGAATAAAGATACATTATAACATACGCTGTCGTCGTTGTCGTCATTTCATTCGTCACGAGTCGTCACAGACAGAAACACACGAATTATGAAGCAGGCGGAGGGCGCTCCCGCAAAACATCCTCTGCACGCGCCCTCTCCGCCCGCGTGAACACCGCAGGCATCGTCCGCGACCGCGTCGCGGCTGCATCGTCTTCGCCCTGCACGGTGATAGTAGGTCGAGTTAGAGTTCCCGTAGCCTGCCCGCGCACGTCCGGAGCGGAAACAGCTGTCCGTCCTTCAGACAGGAACCGCACGTTCGGCCGGCGCGCACTTTCCTCGGAGGTCGGGGTCGTCAGTAGTGGCGACGTCACAAGCTCGCTGTTACTCAAGAACCGCGCAGAATGCGTGCCATTCGCGCTCTGGCTCGGGGACATCCCGTTTGGCGAGGTCGGAATCGACACCGTGATCGGGCTATCGCTGAGGGTATTTGGCAGGCCCGACACCTCCTGCGTCTCCGGCTTTTCGTTCTCCGACACGCCTGGGAGGTTGGAGTGCGTCCCGTTCGGGGAGCGCGACCGTTCCAGTTTGCGGCCCACGAGCATCTGGTACCAGATCGGCCGCGGACCAGGTGAAAGTGAGCTCCTACGCGGACCCGTGTGCGCAACCTCCTGGCTGTGGAGGCTGTTCGCGTTCGTCGAAACTGACAGACGGCTGCGCGTCGCGCTGGCCTGTGAAAGCGCCGTCGCGCGGCGGCGAGCACGGATGATCGAGCCGATGGCGCCCCCAGTCATGCGCAGAGAGTCCAAACCGGGCTCTTCAGTGCGCACGATGATTGCGCGTTTCTCGTCGATCAGGTCAATCTCGTCGTCAAGGTCGGCAATGGGACCCGCTTCGAGGTCGTCGGTGGAGCGGGCTGCCGCAGGCTCAGCCTCCTGTTCCGGGGTGCGCGAGCGGACGCGCTGAGATAGACGGGAACGGCGGGATCGCAATGTTCCGCCGCGCGTGAGCTCGACTTCTTGAGCGGCAAGCGGGTCGGCTTCCTGCTTTGCCGCCTCCAGGAGTAGAGTGGTGTGCTCGTCGACCTAAGACAGCGTGAGATATTGTTTGAATTTAGGTTCGAGTTTGGGCACGCACGTTTGTCAGTTGTCGGGGGTCTACTTTGGTCATCTGCAGGATGATGATTCCAGTGCAGATGACTGCAAAGGCAAGGACGATGGTGATAATCTGAGAGGCACTAGCCTTCAGACCCTGGTACAAGATTACCGACGTGACCAGGGTACAGAAGGTGACTATATACACACTTGTGAGGCCGACGAAGACGCAACCGGCAGTGGCACTCACAGGTAACGTAATAGGTAGGCGTAACTGCGGGTTATTCTGGTAAGTCTGCTGTTCCTGAAGATGCCGCGATAAGCCATACCCATCGCTGTGGGAGTAAGTCCTCAGCATCAGGGATTACACTATTCATGCAGGATTGTGTGGCAACATACCTGTGTTAAACAAAGCCAGTGCAACATTGAGGTAGTATATCTCCGTGACTTGATCGCCAGGTAAGTGATAGCAGTGAGATCAAGAGGAGAGAAAAGCCTACGAAGTGTGACCACCACGAAGACCAACAAAAAGTAGATGAACCAATTCTTAAACTGCAAGACTATGAGCAAAAATATATTAGAGCGAGGTCGGGACGTACTTGGTTGTCTCCTCGGATCGAGGTAACTATACACGCTCCTAAACCCTGAGTGCAACTTACGCTCAGCCCGCCAATCAGACTGCACACACCCTAGGGGACAACGTGTGTGAGACCCAGGGCCTAAGGATAGCTCGCGATGCGCAGCTCACCAAGTAGGGCATCATTGTTCGGTGGCCATAACGAGGCGCGACCCACAAGGCGAGAAAGACGGCGACCGCGAGGACGACGCCGCCGTACGCGAGGAACCATGGAGCAAGGAAGAGATGTTTGAACCCTTCAATCGTCGACACGCTTTGTTCCTGCGGACCGTTCAAGGCAAGGATGGATGCTCCAAGTAAGCATTGAATGGACGATATCCAGCCAAAAAGTGACAGTCGTTCGTTGAGGAAGAAGTGGGATAGTATCGACGAGATGACAACGGAGAGCGCGCCCATGGGTGTCTAATGCACGAGATGTTGGTTCAAGAGGCGCAGACGCGACATACAGAGAAGTGAGGGCATACCACAATGATCGCCTCGACGAACGCATACGCGACGAAGTTGCAAAGCTCCCCAAGAATCATAATGGTCATCCCGGTCCACCACATCGGCTGTGAACCGGCGGATTAGACACTGAGAACGCTAACGCTACTACTGGCGTACGCACCGACTTGAGATAAGCAACTCCCTCGCCCATGACATGACCCTTCTGCGAACTGAGTAACCCCTTCTTCTTGAATACGAAGGAGGAACCGATGAGCACCCCGGAGCCGATGGCGAGGACGACACCGACGCTGATGTCCATTGCAACCATTCGTCAAGCTGTCCATCCACGGTTGTCAAGCACTGATTATATAGTGTACTCACGCGCGATACTGAGACGGTTGACTTGAATCTGAAGACATCACAGGAGCACCCGAGAGCGCACGTAACCCAAAGGGACTTGTCGGAGGGTCGAGCGCAAGGACGAGCGCAAGGACAGCGGGTCTGGCCCAGTGCGACGCGGAGACCGGGATGAGAAGCAGAGCTCAGGAACGTGCACGTCAGGGAGGAGGGCGATCCTCACGCCGTGGGGCCACAAGCAGGTTGGAGTACTGCTGCCGATTGTTAGCTTCTGATGGCCATATGACCTTTAATCCGTCCTGTAACCTTCGTCCACTTCCCAGCTGCGCGCACGTTGCACACCGTTCGAATACTCCGTAGAGGCATAGCTACGGTGGAGGTTAAGTGAGAGGTTCAAGCCGACATTCGAAACGCAAGCACTGCATGTCATCCGTACATACGCAGTCAGCTCAGGGCGCCTATTAGCGGGCTCATCGCTCTGGAGGTCACCATTAAGTCAACGACTCTCATCACATTTGTGACCCTGCGTTGGCTGATTTCATACAATACTAGTGCCTGGTGATATGCGAGCCAAGTACATTTGCAGAAGACGCTACATGGTCCGTACTGACTCAGGCTGCACAGTCTTCAGGCCTGGCGGCACTGCTCCCAGTCCACGCATCGTCTACACATGTCATCACGCCTCAATTCTCTTAGGCTGAGCTAGTGCTTTGATGCAGGTAGGTCCTTCGCTCACTAAGAGCTGAGTAGCTATCGACCAGGTACGTCCTCTGTTCCATTCAATTGGCACTCGGGCAACTGACATTCGCTTTATCTTCCAGGTTACAAAAATGACACTCAAGTACGGGCTACTTCAAGAAGCCTTCGTGAGACGTCCGGCTGGATATGGCGCGAGCTTGTGCCAGGTCGTCCGTGATCTATCGCTGCGTTCCCACTACAATACGTCCCTCCGCGTCTCTCTGCGTCACTGCAGTTCCTTACAATCCACGATATCTTTGCGCGCTGCTGTCAAGCCCCATGTCGTTGAGCTGGACATGTTGTGCCAGCTTTCTGGCACCTCCATCAATCCAGAATTCAATGTCTGTCCAGCCTTCTTCGGTATCCCAGCAAACGGCCCCATCTACATCCCCTCCGTATCAGCAACGTCCTGGGCTATCTCCCGCGAGACGCGTTTTGTGATCTCTTGCGATGACCCTTCCGACTACCCGACATTGCAGACATCTATCTAGAAGACATGGCCCTGGAACAGGGGAAAGCTCTGAGCTCGGAGGTGACACCCTTGAGGCATACTAGAAGCATGGTGCTACTGCTGGAGCACCTTGACGATTCTCTCATCGTATCTCAGTAAGCGCTCCTTAAGATGGCAATACGACATCGATAGTACTAGCGCAGAAAGCTCAGATACGTAGCTCAAAGGCAACTGGTACCGCTGTATACTATACCTCAATTGACCTGATGATCGTATAATCTCGACAAGAGAGGTCTCTGAACGACGTCAAGGTATAGCTCGGATAATTGTTGCCGGAGTGATCGCTGTGGAAGGACCACCCACCTCCCAAGTCCAACCTCACAGCACTTACTAGCCACACCTCCTGAAGATTTCCAGGCAATTTGAGGCAGGAGGACGCGGGATGGGAAGCCACTACTAACGAGAACTGGTACAGAGGGGCCCAGTGGAGTCACATGATGCACTCCAATGACTCAAGTCAAGTTTTGTTGCTCGCTCAAAAGGCGGTCCATGCCGACTTCCTTCCTGCACTAGCACTTTCTCTCCTTCCCTCTCTCCCCGCCTCGACCGCCCCCACTCACGCACATCGTCCTCAATCCCCGCATACCACCAAACTCACCACCATGTGCCCCTGCCAGAACGGCGCCTCCCAGCCTGCAGACAACTCCGAGATGGTCCAGGTCCCTCTGAACGGCTCGACGTCCGCGCACTCCGTCCCGTCCACCGCGAACGGCGCGAACGGGCACCCCACCGCCAACGGCTCTGCGAATGGCACCGCGAACGGCCGCCCCACACGCCCCTTGAACCCCTACGCGCCGCGCGCGTCCGACTTCCTGAGCAACGTCTCGAATTTCAAGATCATCGAGTCCACACTGCGCGGTGAGTCAAATTGCGCATGACGCCATCGCCTGTGGCTCGACGGGCGCGAGAGGCTGATGCGATGTTTGTCTGCTGTCGTGATGGGACGTCGTCGTGATCGCGCGGGATCGGTGATCAGAGGGCGAGCAGTTCGCGAACGCGTTCTTCGACACCAAGACCAAGATTGCGATCGCGAAGGCGCTTGATGCGTTTGGGGTCGAGTACATCGAGCTCACCAGTCCCGCCGCGTCCGAGCAGTCGAGGAGGGGTGAGTCTCGCACAGTCAGCGTGTGCGGGGGAGCCAGACTGACTCACTCTGTCGCGCAGATTGCGAGGAGATCTGCAAGCTCGGCCTCAAGGCTAAGATCCTCACCCACATCCGGTGCCATATGGACGATGCCCGGATAGCAGTCGAGACTGGTATGTTCAGTGCTATTGTGTATGCGCTGAATGTCGCTGAAGAGCGCGCGCGATAGGTGTCGATGGTGTCGATGTTGTCATCGGTACCTCATCTTTCCTCCGCGAGTTCTCGCACGGGAAGGACATGGCCTACATCACCAAGACCGCTATCGAAGTCATCAACTATGTCAAGAGCAAGGGTATCGAGGTCCGCTTCTCGTCGGAAGACTCCTTCCGGTCCGACCTCGTCGACCTCCTCTCCATCTACCAGACCGTCGACCGTATCGGCGTCAACCGCGTCGGTATCGCCGACACCGTCGGCTGCGCTAACCCGCGCCAGGTCTACGACCTCGTCCGCACCCTCCGTGGTGTCGTCTCATGTGACATCGAGGTCCACCTGCACAACGACACTGGTATGGCTATCGCGAACGCATACTGTGCGCTCGAGGCTGGCGCGACGCACATCGACACCTCCGTCCTCGGTATTGGCGAGCGCGTCGGGATCACCCCCTTGGGTGGCCTCGTCGCGTGCCTGTACGCGGCTAACCCCGAGTATGTCAAGAGCAAGTACAACCTGCCGATGCTCCGCGAGATCGAGAACTTGGTCGCGGAGGCGGTCGAGGTGAACGTGCCGTTCATGAACCCCATCACCGGCTACTGCGCGTTCACGCACAAGGCGGGCATCCACGCCAAGGCGATCCTGAACAACCCGTCGACGTACGAGATCCTGAAGCCCGAGGACTTTGGCCTCACGCGTTACGTCTCGATCGGGCACCGGCTGACGGGCTGGAACGCGGTCAAGAGCCGCGTGGAGCAGCTTGGGCTGAAGCTGACCGACGAGGAGGTCAAGGACGTCACGGCGAAGATCAAGGAGCTCGCGGACGTGCGCACGCAGTCGATGGACGACGTGGACACGCTCCTCCGCGTGTACCACTCTGGCATCCAGTCCGGCGAGCTCGCGGTCGGGCAGAAGGAGGCGCTCGACAGGCTGCTCCAGAAGCACCGCGAGGAGAGCCGTTCTGCTGTTGCTGCGAGCGCATGAACGTGGCGGGCTCATTTCGGGCACAGCCGTTCGCCCTCGCCCGTATACGTGGATACAACAAAAGGCCTAATTCATCATGGCCACGGATTTACGTTCAGTGCCAACGCCCTACCCTCTTTTTATGTACTTTATCGTGCATAGTTGCATTTTCCTGCTTCGCTGTTGTTTCTTGTGTTTCCCAAAGATTTTCACAAAAGGGACCTGTGTACGAGAGGACGTAGCCAAAAGGTAGTATACAACAGCTACTCGTAGCAATACAATGTTTTTGTAGAGTGTCTACATGAGCCAGTTGTGCTGATGGAATGCGGACACGGTCCGCGCTGCGGGACGGCGAGCGAGTGCGACGGGAGTTCTTAGTCGCACGTTCATATAGAGGAGATCGTCAGGTACGGCTTGCATGACGTCTCGTCCAAGAATCGCTTCAGTCGGTCGAAAGACCCGACTGCCAATACATCAAATGCATGCCTTCAAATGCCCTCGAAACGCCGTTGGAGGAGCGCTGCCAGTACTGGCGCTGATCGTGCTGGCATGTCGGATGCTTCGGACTTCTGTTCGACTTCTGTTTTCTATTGGCGTGTTGGACAGTGATATAGTGTCAAGGATATACCAATGCTTCTAGCCACCGAGCGCTGGTGGATTTGTAGCATGCGAGGTTTTCTGCAATGTCTGCACCGAGACTGGTTGAGGTCGTCCTGCTACTAATAGCCTGTTGAGTGAAGTTGCGATGGAGACGACAGCGTTGGGTGTGTTCTGCCATGGACGGGGGCCGATGGCAATTATGCGGAAAGGGAGCGGGAGTGGGTGGAATATGGAGATTATCTAGCCGATTTGGGTGATAATCGTTGACGGATTGAGAGCGAGAACATCCGGGACTCCGCACAGTCATATACACCCAGCCAGATTTGGACGGGGATGAGTGCCATCGCCCTCCGCCGCCTCGCTCATCACGCCCGTCTCTTCTCCTCCTCCTCCATCATGTCCCGTGAGTCTTTCCACCGCTCCAGCTGACCGTGATGGTGCGCTCATCGTGCTTGCAGAATACACCACTCGCCTCATCGGCGCACCCAACACGCTTGGTGAGTATTCGTCTTGTCCGTAGATCACCATCGTCGTATGGCCAGATGGTCTTGATCACACCCCCACCGCCCTCGTATACCTGTCTGGCCTTTATTTCGTTGCCATCACGTCCCTCTTTACCACCATTGGCCTCCGTGTCTCCGCTACCTCCCTCTCCGGTCTGCTAACCCGCGTCGACAGAGCACCGCGTGTACCTCGAGCAGAACGGCAGCCCCATCTCGTCCTGGCACGACATCCCCCTCTTCGCCGACCAGAACAATGGCATCCTGAACATGGTCGTCGAGGTCCCCCGCTGGACGAACGCCAAGATGGAGATCTCCAAGGAGGAGCCGTTCAACCCCATCAAGCAGGACGTCAAGAAGGGCCGCCTCCGCTACGTCCGCAACTGCTTCCCCCACCACGGCTACATCTGGAACTACGGCGCGTTCCCCCAGGTGCGTACGCGCGCCGCGCGCCTTCTGCGGAGAGACCAGGGATGCTGATCAGTGTCGCTCTCCTCTCCTCGCGATCGTCCCCGACGCTTCCCATCCGGTCGCGTGCACGTTCGCCCGTCGCATGTGCGCCGCGTATCATCCCCCACACGTGGCCGACAGACCTGGGAGGACCCCCAGCAGACGCACCCCGAGACGAAGGCCAAGGGCGACAACGACCCGCTCGACGTGTGCGAGATCGGCGAGCAGGTCGGGTACGTCGGCCAGGTGAAGCAGGTCAAGGTGCTCGGCATCATGGCCCTCCTCGATGAGGGCGAGACGGACTGGAAGGTGATCGTCATCGACGTGCGCGACCCGCTCGCGTCGCGCATGAACGACATCGAGGACGTCGAGCGCCAGCTCCCCGGCCTCATCCGCGCGACGAACGAGTGGTTCCGGATCTACAAGATCCCCGACGGCAAGCCCGAGAACAACTTTGCGTTCAGCGGCGAGGCGAAGAACAAGAAGTACGCGACCGAGATCATCCACGAGTGCCACGAGGCCTGGCGCCGTCTCATCTCGGGCGAGAGCGCCGCCAAGACCGCGTCGTACGATCTCTCGATGTGCGTGTTTTGTTGCCTTGCTGGGCGGAGCATTGGCGACGCGATGCTGACTCTGCGCTCGTCTCCCTCTTCAGCCGCAACCTCAGCGTCCAGGGCTCGCCCGGCTATACCTCCAAGAACGACCCGGCCTACACCAGCCTCCCTCCCGACTCCCGCAAGCCTCCTGCCCCCATCGACCCCTCCAGTGCGTCTCGCGTGAAGTTCCTGCAGCCGGTTTACTGATCCTTGTTTCGCCGTGTAGTCTCCAAATGGTTCTACATCGCTTCCGCCCAGGTATAAGCCTTCTGTAGCCGTTCGTGTCGTGTATATCTACGAAGCAGTAACAAATCAATCACTTAGGCCGACGAGGTCACCCGCTCTCGTATGTGATCGGTGTGAATGAACGCAGCAAGACACGATAAGACACAATGCAGATGGATTTAACTAGACGCGATGAGGCGAGTATAGAGAGATTGCACTCTTAGAATACGTGCTACAACCTAGAGTGCGGGAGACATTGAGACGGTCGTTGCGAAAACATTGCGTGCAGACGAGAGCATGAAGGACATTTTGTAGGCTCAGCCAGTCATTGATCATCACCTAGACTTCTCTACGCCATCCTGCTGCGTAGGCGGATACCTACAGTACCTGTCGGAAATAGACGTAATCGTCCAGGTCCCTGCGATGTGCATACATGGGTCAGATGTATTTCCCAAAGAAGGAACGAAGACCACGCACCTTCCAATGCAGAGAAGATCGAGTACTCTTTCGTGGTGACCCCAGACACGGTGTGTGTCTCGAGCACTTTGCCTTGCGCGCCCTTGCGCGGGCTCAGCTCCGCGCGCTGGTACGTGAACGTGAACGGCGGCTCGCCGATGAGCGTGAACACGATCTCCGCCTGGTCGCCCTCGTGGATGTCCTGCACGATGCGCTTCCCGTGGCCGACCTGCGCCGACGGCAGCGCGTGCACCGTGTACCGGAGGTCCGTCACCGCCGTCTTGCACATCCGCTGCTGGTGCGCGACGGACGTGATGGCGAACTCGCCCGGGGTATGTTGCGCGACTGACCACGGGGAAAGCTTCGCCTCCGCCGTGTGCGCCTTGCCGCCCGCGCGGTAGCCGATCGTCCACGGCGGCGTGCCCTCCAGCTGGAACGGGATCGCGTCCCCGACGCAGTAGTCCTCACGCCGGCTGAAGGGGATGATCGCCGCCGTCTCGGCGACGTCGACCCAGACGGTGCGGAAGAGCGGGTCGGGGGCGACCTGCTCGCAGTGGCTCGCGTCCGTGACGGACTCGATCGTCACTTGGTGGGGGCCGATCGAGTGGAAGGTGTAGCTCGGGAAGTGGACCCGCCACTGAGAGTCCCACACCTCGACCGTCTCGGAATAGATCTCGCTGGCGGCGAGGTTGCGCACAGAGACCTGGAGCTGGAAAGGAGGAGTACCCTGAAGCACGACAACGCCATCGTTTTGCGAATAGTCCTGTGCGGTGAGAGCATCGTTCAGACAGTAGGAGAGGCGGTTGTGATTCTTGAACCGTGCGGAGGGGCGCGTCAGAACTTGTTGCTCGAACAGGAGGCGTTCCGAGCGAGGGATGATGGCGTCCTTGTTCTTGGCCAGCGAATATGCAGCATCACCGATCTGCTTCACTTCGTAGTAGATTCGGGCGGGCTCGGACGTTCGAAGCTGGAAGCGAGTGCGAGGCTGTATACTGCTGAACGTAGGTTGGTCAAGGAGTTTGGTTCCCCCGAGCCCATCATCCTTCGCAATGTTGTACATGATTTGGAATGGCGGACGACCTAAAACACTGTTCATGACGCCAGACCCGGAGAATAGTCCTTGGATGACGTACCGGTGAGGTCAAGGTCGACATGATCGTCAGTGCCTTCACAGATCGCAGGGAGGATGTGAGAGCCATTGTAGCGTTCATAAGTGGACTGCATATCCGACGAGAGTTTCGCGGATGGTCGCGGGATGTGGTCCACCCGGTAGGTAGATTCGCTTTCTACGATAGTTCCTGGGCATTGGGAGTCGTTCACCTGCACGGGTCTCTGTGAGCCCGACGACATTGTACAGGCATTGTAGGTACATACCCCAATAAGTTCGTATGTACCGGCTGCGTTGACGCGAAGCTCGTCGTTAGGTGATTTCAGGGTAGCCCTTTCGATGGGACCGCCCTGGCGACGATACTGAACACGCCAAGGCTGCAAGGAACAAACTGAGTAACGATTGGAGTTATGTAGGCAGACTGACTGACTCCTTCACCAGTTAAGCGCAGCGGTAGGATCGCCTGCTCGTGGTCGAGTATCGTCACCCGCCGCTGGTCCGGTTTCCCGTAGAATCTGACAGTTGGCTGCACGTTGCACTCGTTACCGAAATGTTCCCAGTGATTCACTATGACAGATGGACTTACTAGGTTACGGCGGACGTTGACTGCAATCCCCGGTACCGACAGAGACCGTTTGCACTTGTATGCGTCCTCCACATTCACTGTTACATCGGAATTAGTCGATGGCCATGTAACCGGTCGGAGATACGTACCCAGCTCAACCTCAAAGGAACCGCCATCCCTATCAATCGCCTTAGGAATAGGCAAAGAAAGGGACTGCCTTGCTGTCTGAATGTCACGGAAGGGAATGATCTCAGAGCCCCTGGGACCGACGATTTGCACCTCGATATTCCACGGTGCTGTACCCTAAGTTTGCGAAAATAAGCTTGTGTACAGGGAGCATCTCGTACACACGGCCTTACCCGCAGCTCGATCTCCACGCCAACATTACTACCAGAGCAGCTGCTGATACTCTTCTTGCCTCTTCCGCCGTGTACGTTCCCAACGAAGTCCGCAGAAGGAGGCGGATGCACATCTAGCTCGATTGCAGCCGCCTTGAGGTCAATCTTCTTGTAGTTCGCGTCGCTAACCCGGTAGATCTTGAACGTGTAGTGACCGCTGCGATCTGGTTGGACGGTCAGCTCCCCCCGCGAAGCCGTGAACGTCTTGTGGTGCTCCTTCGGATTCTCAGCGTCACGCTGCGAGCGGTAGTACACTGTGAAGGGCGGAGTGCCATGCAGGACCAAGGCAGCGGAAACGCCGATGTCTCCAGAGCTGTGACGCCAAGGCGAAGGGATTTGCAAATTATCAAGTTGTCAGCGAATCACGTTGATCAACTATACCACCGACTAGACTTGAAATTGAAATATCTGGAACTGTGGACGCACCATTCATGAATTTTCTTCCACTCTATCTCCGCGCTGGGAAGTGGTCGCTCGACGACCCTGCACGTTTCGGGGCTCAAAACGTCACCTTCGCAATACTGCCCCGTGACGCCTACGATCGTGTACTCTCCCGGCGCGCTCGCACGTAGCGTCAGTTCCCGACGATCGCCCTGTGTCTTGAGGTTCTTCGTCCATGCCTTGTACCGCTTGCTCGGCTTCGAGCCATCTTCTCCCGGTGGAGGATCGTATCGCACGGCGACATCCCAGGGTGCATCCTCAATGTCCGCTTGTACGGCTGCAATGGTGAGAGGCGCTTCGGACCCGACAAGCAGGGAAGCTGGTTGTCCTGGACCACAGTGCTTGAACGAGACGGCAGGCCGGCGGAGGACAGTGACTGAGCGAGTTGTGGCGAGAGCGTGGTCCTGGGCACCTTTGCGGGGAGCATCAGCGTGTTGGCCCGCGTGTGCGACGTTTCCGAGCGAGTCAGTCACTGACTCAAGCGTGTGCGTGTGGGTGCCAAGGGTATCAAGCACCACCGTCAGCGGGACGCGGACTTGGGTGGGCGCCCGCTGGCCAGTTGAAGAGAGCCTGCGATCATCATCGCTATGCGCATGGCGCTCGTGCTCAGCACCCTCGATGCCTTCGACCATGAACGACTCGCGTTTGTGGCCGGCTTCGCGATACCACCGGAGACTGAGTGGTGGAACGCCGTAAATGTCGATTTCTAGCTGAAGCTCCTCGCCTGATCCACTGACAAGACCGGGAGCAGCGCACCGGACATCCTTGACAACGGCCTGGCTCCTTGGGGAGAACTCTGCACGAGGACAGGGCACAACTGTCACTTCCGTGGGGTAGAGGAGACGCGCGTCGACGTTCGACTGGTCAAGGACACGCTCAAGAGTGAGCGTACCAGGTTTGTTGAGGCGGATGTAGGTAAGGTGCTGTGTCTTCTGTAAATGGTTCTGCCCGAGGCTGTGCCCTTCATCGTCATCGTCTTCGTCGTACTCGTCGTACTCGTCCGAATCCTTCTTCTGGGCTGCACGGACGAGCTGCAAATGGTCGACACGGCTTTGTTCGATGGCCCTGAGGTCCTTCGCAGACAGGTCAACATGTTCGATCCTGCTAGTACTTCGCGAAGTCTCGGAGGCTGCCAGAGGTGTCAGATTGTACCTCAAGGCAGCTGGATTGGTGTTGTTCAGAAGAACAGGGATGAGAACATAGGAGCCGGGAGTGGGGAAGCAAAACGTCTCAGCGTAGGGATTCAACTGAGCAGTGCTGATGGGAGACATGCGGACGGTGTGTTGACCAAGAAGGTGGGTCTCCCTACCACCATTCAATATCGGCAGCCCCAAGTCAGGAAGGTAATCCCAAATCGCGGACGTGCTGTAAGATACGTCTCCTGATGCATATGTCAACGCGCCCACGGTAGCCAGCACGTACTATAACATACCTGAAGAGCGGCCGGACTGGATCCATGGTCCCCCGCTTCCAATGTTCACCGAGATTCCTCCGAAGGCTAGACCGTCGAATAACCACAGAGCAATAATCTGTAGAGCAACCACAGATTTGCTGTACCTTAGACGCGGTACTCGGAGCCATGACAGGACCGAGCAGTAGACGAAGTCAGCAAACATCCACTTTCTCGCGAAGTGTTGTGGACCTTCGCTCGGCCAAAGCCAATATCGCCCTAGGTCAAATATCTTGACCGCCTACAAGCAGAAAATGGTTAGTGAAGCTATACGCGAACGTCTCCAAAAAAGAGCGATCGGTACAAGAGATCCGCTCATTTGCGCAAACCACGGCACACGCACTGAACGCAATAGCGATGAGACACAAGCATACCTGACATGCCACTCCTAAACTCAATGCGTACAAACGCTGATCAGGCACTTCAAGAAAGCTTTCTGGTATGCGGGGTCGGGAACCAGGAGGAGCCTGCGCGCTGCCTGGTGAAGGCTTGGTGGCGGACATGGCGTAAGTGTCCTGAGATGCACAAGAGGTCTATGTCGTGAAGTTTATCGTTCCAGTTCGTGTCCAGATAGTACCAGAGGGTCGTAGTCGAGCAAGGAGGCGCAGATGTCATGCAGGGAGGATGGGGCAGGTCGTAGACGGAGGACAATGCATCTGCTGCAACAAGCACGGCAGTGACGCGCCCGCCACAAGGATGCACGTGACCGTAGGGGCGCGGCGCTTGCATGTCATCGCGACCATGAGAAACTTGAAGTCTTTCGACCCTCTCAAGGGGTTGACATTCAGTGCGTTTTCTCAATAGCGGACCGTGTCAAAGTGCCTTCGATTGTAGTAGAGCATAGTACATATGTTGCGTGTACGTAAGAAATGAAGCGCACAACTTCAGAAAGTCACGATAACTAAGCCAAGCGAGAAGAACACGAATGTGCTACAGATACAGCAACCATGCCTAGAAGAGTGCACGCGAGTCCATTGCGAATGCGGAGGATACGGGTATAACAGATGACGACCCTAACATACCGAAAAACGACAATATTCAGACTGGGGACAAATGATAACGGTATCTCGTCGCTCATGAGCGCTTGGGCCTCGAGCGCATAGTCGAAGTGTACCCCAGCATAAGCTCTATCTGCCGCTTCGCCTCCTGCAACTCACGGTCTTGTATCTCGACCTGCTTATACATCCTTTGCCGGTCGTCGTCGAGTTTGTCGTGCACTCGCTGAAGTTTACGGTAGCGGCGTTCGGTGTGGAACGTCGTCAACACCATAGAACGTGTCCTGCTGCGAAGGAACGCCTTTTCGTCCATGGGACGCGCAGGCCAACCGGCGTACACGCCGTCAGACACGGCACTCTCGCCCGACGTCAAGAGTGTGTGTTCGATAAGCATAGAGGTGGGCTCCATAGATGCTCCCGAGAGCAGGCGGGAACCCGAGCGCAACGCACATCTGTCGATGAAATGGTTAGAACTGTCAACAACGGATCCAACCAGGATTGACTCACCCAGGGCCGATTGTCAAGACACTCGAAGATGTTTCCCCACGGGAGTCGATGTGAGAAACGACTGAGCAGTTATCGAGTGCGACGTTATCGCCCAAATCAACAAGGCCAGGCTCTGTCATCAAACCCGTAAAGCCACCAGCGAATATCGCGCAGTTCTTCCCGATCTTCGCGCCCATAGCGCGGTAGAACCAGACAATAAAAGCAGACCCGCTAATCGCGCCAATGACACCCCCGATGCCGTAGCCTCTGTACAGAGGCTTCGAGAGGACAAGATGAAGCTGCGAGCGCTGAGAGTACGAGCTGCCGGAGATCCTGCGGCCGACGAGGATCCACTTCGTCACGACGACCCATAGGAGGGCGATGACCGCCTGGGTGATCAAAATCAGGATGAACCAGCACGCCAGTAGCCCGAATAGGACGAAGATCGACCGAGCTCCCGGAGCAAAGAGATGTAGTCGGGGAAGGTGTACACGAAGCTGGTTGAGAACCGGGATGCCGAAGACGGGGCCAATCGACCAATAGCCTGCGCAGACGATGGCGACGAGGATATTGAAGATGATCAGGAGCGGGTATGGAAGTGCGGAATAGGACGCCTCGCGCTTGTAGAACTCGGGGCCGAAGGGCGTGGACGGCGAAATGGTGTCGTCGGCCCCCTCCTTGTTACCGCTCTTGAAGCAGACCGCTTCCCCGCCCTCTGAACCCATCCAGACCGAGCCGTCCGCGTATGACATGTCCCGCTTCGCGATCGCACCAGAGCCCATACCGGTACGCTCGCCCACGGTCACACCAGGAAGGAGGACAACGCGGTCAGCGATCATAGCACCCGATTTGACGACGATCCTGTCCGAGCCGTGGGCGTCCGTGGTGAACACTGCAGACTGGGACCCGAACACGACGTCGTCGCCGACTTCGAAGAGCTCAGGATCCGGGCAGTAAACACCCGACGCGGGCCAGTACACGCGCTTGCCGATTTTCGCGCCCAAGCATCGCCAGAAGATTGAAATCGTCTCCGGTTGCGAACCGATGATGTCGAACGCCCGCTTCATGGCATGTGTGCTGAGCAAATGTAGATTGATGAAACGGCGGGTCAGAGCCCACTGCGAAGCGTCCTCAGCATAAACCTCGCTGTTGAGGCCCATGATGCGCTTGACGACAATGCCAAGGATGAGCTGGAGGACTGGCGTGCAAGTCAATCTGACGATTCGCGCGAAGGCGTGCCAAGCGACGCGTGCCGGTGACGAGAACCAAACAATGACGCGCTCGACCGCGGTGAGGTTGCCAGCGCTCGATTGCATAACGAAGAGGTAGAGGGCTGCGACCCAAGGGGCATACGAAACAATCTTCACAAGGACGATGACAGGGTATGCCACGAAGAGTCTGGGTGCCCAGTGCGGGTCGGGAATGGCCGCGCGACCGAATTGAGCGTGGGTGTTGGGGGAGGGCTCGTCGTAAGAAGAAGCGTGCGGTCCGTAAATCGCGCCATCAGGAATAGCGGCGCCGGGAGAAATCTGCGTATGAGCGCTGATGATGGCACCACGGCCGATGACGATAGGCTCAAGGCGGAAGCACCCATCGCGCTCCACGCAGAAGCCACGTACGAGGGCATTGTCGATGCGGCAGCCGTCGTGAATGGTCAGAAGGTCGTACTCACCGAGCGTCGCATCTGAGTCGATGACGACGTTCCGGCCAACACGTCCTCCAAGCATGCGCAAGTATACAACCTCGAGGTAGGGGTGCGCAGAGAAAATACCGCGGCCGAAGATACGGAGAGCCTGGTTGATAATCCACCAGCGAAGGTGGTAGTTGCTCCAGAAGCGGTAAGTCCCTGGCTTGTAACGTCCGATGATGATCCACTTCAGAGCAATGCCGACGACGGGAAGGACGATCCTCGAAAGAAGGCGAGCGGCAATAATAGCTGCGAACAGGGACCCGATACGCTGCCAGAAGGAGCCATCGATGGCAGTCGTGAAGAGGGAAAGGAACAAGACGAGGCTCGTCCACGTGAACGCGACCTTCAGAGGATAGAACAGCAATGAAGGGATAACTTGTACGAGGAGCGCCAGTACGTGAGTCTGGCTGCGGCCGTTGTCCTGGGCGAGGTCTTGACTCTCGAGGGATGGTAGGTCGGGCTCCGTGCTGGCCGGCAACTCGTTGACGGACGCCGCGGAGCTGCCCGCAGTAGTGTTGACGGCGGTCTTGTCAACTTCAGCACGCGATTCGCTGTCACTGTCGCCTTCGATCAAGGATGCGATTCCGTTTACGGTGCTGTTAGCGAAGATGGCGGCAACCCGCACAGTGGTTCCGGTCTCCTTGCGAATCATGTGCGCAAGACGGCCCAAGAGAAGCGAGTTGCCACCTAGGAGGAAGAAGTCGCTGTCGCCAGAAATGGAGGCCGGATCCTTGTCCAATAGCTCCGCAACGATCGTACGAATGACAAGACCCTGGGAAGACAGGCTACGTGCGTTCCGGCGGGCCATCTCGGCTTCCATAACGTCCCAGTCAACTGTGCCATCCTGCTTCCTGGCGAGGAGCTCAGAGAAGACGTAGAGAGGATTTGGCACGGAGTAACCGGATACGATCTTGACCAGCAAGTCGACAATGGAGACAGAGTCGAGACCAGAAGCAGGGTTGATCGCCACAAGCGCCTCGGGAGTGCCACTTTTGCTCAGACGAACGGTAACTTCCCGGACGCCCTGAAGACTGGCGATGGCGTCCTCTACTGTGGGAACATCGAGGGAGACGACCGAGCAAGGGATCGGCGTCGACAGAGGTGCGTTCTTGTCGGGGACAGTCTGTGTCTCGAAGTGACGGACGACGGCAGGTGTCTCGTCAGTCATCTGCTCAAGGCCAAGACGCTCGGCGAGCTTGATGCGTAGTGGCTTTCCCGCGGCGTTCTTCGGCAAGTCGGGCATGTACACAATCGCAAACGGCCATTTGGAGGGGTGGAGCTGCACTTGTAACAAATCGATGAGCTCGCCGAGGCCGATGCGAGGGGCGCCATGCTGGGGAACGATGACAACACCAATGGTCTCCTGCAGGACATCGTGAGGGATGGAGAACGCGATTGTGGCCTTCACCCGGCCCGAGGCGAGAGACGTGATGGCCTCTTCGATCTCGAAGGGAGAGATGACCTCGCCACCCTTGTTGATGATCTCCTTTGACCGACCAGTGACGAACAAATAACCGTCTTGGTCCATGTAGCCGACGTCACCACCATCGAACCAACCTTCTGACGAGAAAGCTGAAGTGTCGAGAGGAGCGCCGGGCTCAGTCTCGTATCCCTCAAACGTCGGGATGCCACGTACACACACAGCGCCGGTGGATCCCCGAGGCAACTCGCGCTCCAGGTTGAAAGGATCGCGGATAGACATGTGGGGACCACAAGCGATGCCGGAACAACCCGGGCGATCAAGTTGATACGTCGTCGGGGGCGAAGCGATAGGCATACACTCCGTCATTCCGTATGAGGGAAGTACGATAGAGCCGAAGGTATCCTTCACCTGTTGAGCTAGAGTAGGTAGTAAACCGCCGGCCGCGTTTGCAACCATCCGAATGCGGACATCTCTCGATGGGACTACCGTCTCGGGCATCGACCCCAAAATAGCGTGATGCATCGTCGGCGCAGCGTAATACCTGGAGTGACATGAGTCCAAAGATCTAACAAGGGTAGGTAGGTGACGCGTACCAGGTCGCTCCACAAGCCATGACGATCGGCCAGAAGGCAGTGCTGTCAAAGCCTGGACACATAATTGCGCTCCCGCCTGAGAAGACGGGCGCCCATAAGTTGCGAATAATACCACCGACGTGGAACAGCGGCATCATGTTCACTGTTGATGATCGTCAGCGGAAGGGTAATACAACAGATATCAAGTGGACTCACTGTTCACATCGTCATCCCTAAGAGCCCATGAGCGAATCACGGCACAGGTGCCGACAATGAGAGAACGAAGTGTATACGGAACAACCTGGAAGTGATTAGGAGCGGGCATTAGAACATCTGTTCCTAGACCAGGCAAAGCGGAAGCTACTCACCTTCTTTTTGCCACTCGTACCAGAAGTGTGTAGAATTAGCGAGTAATCAGACAGCCCGTGTGGCTGCGACGGTCGCGAAACGAGCTTGTGTATTACGTTCGAGGCCTCCTCGTCACCGTCCGTCATGACCGTCATGTCGAACAAACCTGCGGGGCCATCCGACCGTGCGTGCATGAAGATAATGTCGCATTTCAGCTGCTCCCTGAGCTTCTTGAGGTCAAGCCGCTCCGTTGCATCGGGAGTCGTGAAGACCGCCTTGACTCGTAGGCGAGCTGCGTCCTCGGCGATCTCCGCGGGAGTGCAGCTGGAGTTGACGGGAGCGCAGGTGTGATAGGAAGAGACGGCCATGAGCGCAACGGCGTTCTCGGGGCTTGTAGGAAGAACGACCATGACACGGTCATTGGGACCCAAGGAGCCATAGAGTCCAGATGTCGGCAGCGCGAAGCCAGAGACGAATCGGCATAGTGCTTTATGCTGCAGTGGCGGACGTGACGAGTCGGTGGACCAGAGTACGGGGGCCTCGGTAGAGGCGAGGCAGTCGAGAAGCGTGGAGACGCGACCGGAATCGGTGACAAGTTCTGCGAGCTGGTCCCCAAGGGACACATCCTGAGCAGGGTCCGAGAGGTCGCCGAGGAATGCAAGAGGGACAGACATTGCGTGGGGTGTATGGGTGCTGATGATGTAGAGGTGCGATGTGATGTACGGGGTGTGGTGAAGAGTACGGAAAATAGGTGAGGACGCGAACCATGCGCGCCCTTTATATATGTTTTCGACAGCGAGATTGCAAAGGCGAACGCCCCTAAACGGTGCAAATCACCGCCTGTATTCTGTGCGGCGGATGCGGATAGTGGATACGTTTGTGTCATCGAAGGGGATGACTTGCCAGAACGCCGGTAGAGTCCGCAAGAATCCGGAGATAAGGTGGTCGAGAACGATGGAGTGCTGATTTTTCTGTGGCCTTCCGCCCAGCATCGCATGAGGTACCGCGCGCGCCGTGTGTTTCGGTGCTTCTTGCGGACTGCAGGGCGTCGATCGTGTCGGCTGTGACTCAGATACGATCTGCACTATGTAAGTCGCGCAGCGGCATTCTAGATGACTTCCTCTTCTATGCCGCCCGGTACTTGAGTTGTAAGGTTGCTAGTATGCTACTAAATGGGACGGGGGGAAATGTTAGAGTCCACGGTTCTGATTCTGCCTACATATCACGCACCGATTGCGATGACGATTCCAAGGAGGACTTGGGAGAGACGGAATCGCCGACAGCAAATCGAGATCCTCTAGGACTTCCGCCATTTTGGGCCGAATCGCGATTCTGAGGGCAAGATCGCCTCCACAGTTGTCCTCTATAATCATCCTAGAGCTGCCGTGTTATTGCACCCGTTGGCCACCCTTAATGTGGAGATGGCGTACGCCGCTTGCGATGATTCCGCTCCATCTTCTTCAGCGACGTCCGAAGGCGTATCCTAGCGCGAGTTGCACAAGTCGGTGAACGCGTCGTTCGTGTCAATGCATCAAAGCAGTGCGCCCGACAGTGAAATGTCCCATGGGCAAGCAGAGCCGTAACGTCTCGAGTTGAAGACAGTGAATCAGTTAGCTCGTGTCCGGGACTCATGAAATATTTAGCAACATAGATGCAAGTCCCGAGCTGTTTAGTTTAATTAGGAACCTGGATGCTGCGATTGAGGGTCATCCTGGCGCCGTATAGCGTCGTATGAACGAACGCGAACAGCTGGAGGCGGTCAAAAAAGGCGCGAGCGGCCGCAGAAAAGGTTATGCGGAATCCCTTTCACCGACTTGGAGCAGGAGAAGGTACCCGCCCCGGCCCCTAAGCCCCTTTACTCAGTATTGGATCCCTTCGCGTTCGCAAGGGACATAGCGCTCCCGAGAGTGCGACTCGCGCATGGGTAGGCCAAGGCACCTCTGAACATTGGTTCTTCGGTCCACATTGAGTTTGAAGTGAGTCGTACCGTACAACAACCCATATGGGTGGACACGAGTATCCGAAGGTCAATGGTGCTCCGGCGATTCTGTGCCACAAACAGCATGCGTCACGATTGGGTCAGTGATTCTAATGATGTCGATAAGCTAGCCGAGACGCACCCTCGGAAGTGAAACGACAAGAAGGTGAACGACGGCTTGGGCTATACTTGGTCCCACAGGAATTCTAGCATTGCATGTTGCTCCCCAGTCCAGATGGGCATTTCACCGGCTCGTGGCATTTGGATCCGGCAAATCAGTTGAAACAGCCGGAGATGAACGCAACAGAGACGATAGGCTCATAGCAGGCGGTTCGAAATGAGTCTGGCACTTCGATTTGTAACGGCCAATTCGGATACCTGACTGCGTTCTCAGGTCCCGGCGCTCATCCTACCGAATCGGGCAGTCAAGGCGCTCCTGTCCCTCATAGGATGCGGCCCCATTACGGAGAGTCCTAGTCACGATCTTCTATGTTTCATTTCTGGTCCAGCGTCCAGCAAAGAGTGAAGTGCCTCCGCGCATCAGTCAGGTTTGCGCCGTCTCCACGTGCGCATAGTATGATTGAACGAGCTTGCACAGACCCACCGCCTCCTCCCACACAGGCTGCCTCAATAATATGCCCATTCAAATAATGCGGGTTGGAGCGTAGCCCTCAAGCAACATCGCAATAAAGTTGACACATCGTCAATGACTTCTTACCCAATGGAAGGGCGCTGCCCCCCCTTTGGCCCCTTCGCGTTAGGGTATTGATTGCATTCACTGTCCATGTCCAGTCATTTCGACCTTATGCGCTGTCGTGAGTGGGAAGTGTCGACAGGCAATTCCGTTGAAGAGATTCGAGTGTGAGGGGACATAAGAGGCATATGTCCATGCTACGCAGCGTAGCGGTGTGATAATACAAGAATTACCTACACGGTAGTATGTAACGGGGTTCGAGGGACGATGCAGAAGCGAACAGTGTGTGCAACATAAGAAGGAGAGAAAGAAAAGGATGCTACCAATACAGCAGCTGGTTTCATGTAATCTGTGTGCGAGTCTATAGCGGACGATCGAAAGCGATGGGTATAACAACACGACGAGTCTAGCATGCAGGGAAAGGACAAACAGCACGACAACGGACTGACCAGTACCTACATCTCAGCCATGGACACTCGATCGTGCGCTGCCACTCATGAGCGTCGAGCCGCGCATAGTCGAAGTGTGGCGCAACATCAGCTCCAGCCGCCGCTTCGCCTCCTGCAGCTCACGCTCGTGGTCCTCGAGCTTTCTATCCAACCTCCGCCGCTCGTCCTCCAGCTTATCTTGTACACGCTGGAGTTTCCGGTAACGCGAGTCGGTGTGGAACGTAGACAGAACCATTGAACTTGTCCTGCTGCGTTCCCACGTCTTTTCATCCATGGTACGCGCAGGCCAACCGGCGTACACGCCGCCGGACTCGGCGATCTCGCCCGACGTGAGGAGAGTGTGTTCGAGAAGCATGGAGCTGGTCTCCATAGATGCCCCCGAGAGCAGGCGAGAGCCCGAGCGCAACGCACAGCTATGACGTGATTATTAGCGACTCTCAACGATGAGGAAGAGGGGTTGTTGACTCACCCAGAGCCAATTGACAATGCGTTCAGAGAGAAGTTCCCACGGGAGTTGATGTGAGCGACAACTGAGCAGTCATCGAGCGCGACATTGTCGCCCAACTCGACAAGATCGGGCTCTGTCATCAAACCCGTACGGCCGCCAGCGAACACTGCGCAGTTCTTGCCGATCTTGGCGCCCATAGCGCGGTAGAACCAGACGATGTATGCGGACCCGCTAATCGCGCCAAGGATACCGCCGATGCCGTAGCCTCTATACAGAGGCTTCGCGAGGACGAGATGAAGCTGCCAGCGCTGACAGTACGAGCTCTTGTCCCAGTCGTAGCTGCCGGCGACCCGGCGACCGATGACGATCCACTTAGTCACGACAACCCAGAGGAGGGCAATGACCGCCTGGAGGCTAAGGGTGATGATGAACCAGCACGCCATCAGCCCGAACAGGACGAAGACCTGCTGAGGGCCATTCGCAAAGAGGTGTAGCTGAGGAAGATGGATGCGGAGCTGGTTGAGAACCTGGGTGCCGACGACGGCCGCGATCGACCAATAGCCTGCGCAGACAATGGCGACGAGGGTGTTGATGATGACCAGCAGGGGGTACGGGAATACGAAGTAGGACGCCTCGCGCTTGTAGAAAGCGCGGCCGAAGGGCGTGATCGTCGGACTGTTGTCGTCGGCTCCCTCCTTGTTTCCGCTCTTGAAGCAGACCGCTTCCCCACCCTCCGAGCCCATCCAGACCGAACCATCGACGTATGTCGTGTCCCGCTTCGCGAGCGCACCAGAGCCCATGACGGTACGCTTGCCCACAGTCACACCAGGTAAGAGGACGACGCGGTCAGCGATCATAGCACCAGACTTGATGACGATCCTACCCGAACCGATACCGTCCGTGGTGAACGCCTCAGACCGGGACCCGAACACGACGTCGTCGCCGACTTCGAAGAGCTCTGGATCCGGACAGTAGATCCCCGACCCGGGCCAATACACGCGCCTGCCGATTTTCGCGCCCATGCACCGCCAGATGATTGAGGTCATCTCGTAATGCGAACCAATGATGTCGAACGCACGCTTGATAGCAGCCTGACTGAGGAGATGATGATTGATGAAACGGCGGGTCAGAGCCCACTGCGAAGCGTCCGCAGTGGGACCCTCGCTGTTAAGACCCATGATGCGCTTGACGATGATGCCGAGGATGACCTGGAGAATCGGCGGGAAGATCACTCGGATGATACGGGCAAGGCTGTGCCACGCAACGCGTTGCGGTGACGCGAACCAGACGATGACGCGCTCCACCGCAGTGAAATCGCCGGCAGGAGAAGGTTGCATAACGAGAAGGTAGAGGGCAGCGAACCAAGGAACATACGCGGCGATCTTCACGATGAGGATAACAGGGTACGCCAGAAGGAATTTGAGTGCCCAGTGCGGCTGGGGAACAGCCGCGCGACCGTACTGAGCGTGGCTATCGGGAGAGGGCTCGTCGTGAGAAGAAGCGTGCGGACCATATGTCGCGCCATCGGGGATGACGGCGCCGGGAGCGAGTTGCGTATAGGTGTTCACGATGGCACCACGGCCAATGACGATAGGCTCAAGGCGGAAGCACCCATCGCGCTCGACGCAGAAGCCACGCACGAGAGCATTGTCTATGCGGCAACCGTCGTGAAGGGTGAGTAGGTCGAACTCGGCGAGCTTCGCCTTCGAGTCAATGATGACGTCCCGGCCAATGCGTGCTCCAAGCATGCGGAAGTAAAAGATCTCAAGGGAGGGGTGCATAGAGAAGATACCGCGGCCGAAGATACGGAGAATCTGATTGGTGATCCACCAGCGAAGGTGGTAGTTGCTCCAGAAGCGGTAAGTTCCCGGTTTATAGCGGCCGATGACGACCCACTTGAAAGCGATGGCAACGATGGGAAGGACGATCCGCGCAAGAAGGCGAGCACCGACAATAGCCGTCAACAAGGATCCGATGCGTTCCCAGTAGGAGCCGCCAATGAAAGCTGTGAAAAGAGAGAGGATGAAAACGATGCCAGTCCACGTAAATGCGACCTTCAAGGGATAGAAGAATAACGAAGGAATGGCTTGTACGAAGAGGGACAGTACGTGGGTCTGGCTACGGCCATTGTCCGGGACGAACTCTTGGCTTTCAAGTGCAGGGAGATCGATCGTGCTGGACTCCGACTTGTTGATGGACGCGGCGGAGCTGTTGACAGTTGTATTGACGGCGGTTTTATCAGGATCAATAGGTGAGTGGTTGTCGTCCTCGAGTAAGGATGCGATTCCATCGATGGTACTGTGTGCGAATATGGAAGGGACGCGCACAGTCGCTCCAGTCTCCTTACGGATCATGTGCGCAAGACGACCCAAAAGGAGCGAGTTGCCACCTAGGAGGAAGAAGTCGCTGTCGCCAGAAATGGAGGCCGGATCCTTGTCGAGGAGTTCTGCGACAATATCACGTATGACGAGAGCCTGAGAAGACAGGCCGCGTGCGTTCCGGCGAGCCATCTCGGCTTCCATGACGTCCCAGTCAACGGTCCGATCCTGCCTCCTCGCGAGGAGCTCAGAGAAGACATGAAGAGGGTTTGGTACGGAATAACCAGGGACAGTCTTCAACAGCGCGTTGACAATGGAGGCAGAGTCGAGACCAGAAGCAGGATTGATCGCCACAAGCGCCTCAGGTGTGCCGTCTTTGCGCAGACGAACAGCGACTTCCTGGACACCCTGAAGACTGGCGATGGCGTCCTCTACTGTGGGAACATCGAGGGAGACGACCGAGCAAGGGATCGGCGTCGACAGAGGTGCGTTCTTGTCGGGAACGGTCTGAGTCTCGAAGTGACGGACGACGGCAGGCGTCTCGTCAGTCATCTGCTCAAGGCCAAGACGCTCGGCGAGCTTGATGCGCAGTGGCTTTCCCGCGCTGTTCTTCGGCAAGTCGGGCATGTATACGATCGCGAATGGCCACTTGGAGGGGTGGAGCTGCACTTTCAACAGATCAAGCAGCTCGGAGAGGCCGATGCGAGGGGCGCCAGGTTGGGGAACGATGACAACGCCGATAGTCTCCTGCAGGACATCGTGAGGGATGGAGAACGCGATTGTGGCCTTCACACGATCCTTAGCAAGAGATGTGATAGCCTCCTCGATCTCGAAGGGAGAGATGACCTCGCCACCCTTGTTGATGATCTCCTTTGACCGACCAGTGATGAAGAGGTAGCCATCTTCGTCCATGTAGCCCATGTCTCCGGAGTCAAACCATCCTCCAGACGAGAACGCCGAAGTGTCAAGAGGAGCGCCGGGCTCGGTCTCGTATCCCTCAAAGGTTGGGACGCCGCGAACGCAAATAGCACCGGTAGATCCCCGAGGCAGTTCGCGCTCGAGGTTGAAAGGATCGCGGATAGACAAATGAGGACCGCAAGCGATGCCGGAACAACCCGGGCGATCAAGTTGATACGTCGTTGGGGGCGAAGCGATGGGCATGCATTCCGTCATACCGTATGAAGGAAGCACGACGGCAGCGAAGGTGTCCTTCAGCTGTTGAGCCAGAGTGGGTAGAAGGCCACCGGCCGCGTTCGCTACCATCCGAATGCGTGTATCCCGCGAAGGGACAATTGTCTCCGGCCTCGATCCCAAAATAGCGTGATGCATCGTCGGCGCAGCGTAGTACCTAAATTTCGACATAAGCTTAAAATAACAGACGAGCATAGTCAAGCGAGGCGTACCAGGTCGCTCCACAGGCCATAGCGATCGGCCAGAAAGCAGTGCTGTCGAAGCCTGGACACATGATTGCGCTACCGCCGGAGAACACGGGCGCCCACAAGTTGCGGACGATCCCGCCAACGTGGAACAGCGGCATCATGTTCACTTGCGTCGAGAATCAATACCTGAAGCGACGTCACCGCGGATTCTAGGGTGTACTCACTGTTCACATCATCATCCCTGAGATCCCATGAGCGGATGACAGCACAAGTGCCAACGATGAGGGAGCGAAGTGTGTACGGGACAACCTAAGAATAGCAAGCCTTTAGACGTCGGCGTCCTAGCCCAAAATGGAAGGCGCTCACCTTCTTCTTGCCACTCGTCCCAGAGGTGTGTAGCACCAGCGAGTAGTCAGACAACCCGTGTGGACGCGATGGCTTGGGGACGAGCTTGTGGACTACATCCCAGTCATCCACGTCGTCACCGTCCGTCATGACCGTCATGTCGAACAGGCCTGCAGGGCCATCCGAGCGCGCGTGCATGAAAACAACTTCACACCTCAGTTCCTCCCTCAACCTCCTGAGCTCAAGCCTATCCGTCGCATCGGGAGTCGTGAAGATCGCCTTGGCACGTAGACGGGCTGCGTCCTCGGCAAGCTCTCCGGCAGTGCAGCTCGAGTTGACCGGAGCGCATGTATGATATGTGGAGACGGCGAGTAGCGCAACGGCGTTCTCGGGGCTTGTAGGAAGAACGACCATAACACGATCGTTGGGGCCCAGGGAGCCATGGAGCCCCGATGTTGGCAACGCAAAACCAGAGACGAAGCGGCGTAGGGCTGCATGCGGCAGGGGCAGGCGCAACGAGTCGGTGGACCAGAGGACGGGGGCCTCGGTAGAGCAGAGGCAGTCGAGGAGCGTGGAGACCCGACCGGAGTCGGTGACCACTTCTGCGAGCTGATCCCCGAGGGATACACCCTGAGCAGGGTCCGAAAGGTCGCCGAGGAATGCCAGAGGGACAGACATTGCGCAACGGTGAAGGGGGAGGCCGCGAGGGGACAGGAGGCACTAGGGAACGGTGTGATTGCCTATGAGGTCCCTTTATCACTGCATTCGATGGCCTTGAAGCGCAAGAATAAGCGAGCGAACCGGAGGGCAACGGGGCTGCGCCGTGACTGCCCGTAAACTGTGCACATTTTTCGCCCTAGGATCTGTAGTGAGCGCGCATGATGAATACGTTTCTGCTACCGACAGGATTGACTTACCAGAACGCCGGTATTGTCTGCAGGGACCCGGCGATAAGGCGGTCGAGAGTGATGGAATGTTGAGTTCTCGGTGACCATCCGCGCAGCCTCGCATGAGGGTGCGGCGCGCGCCGTGTGTTCGGGGCTTCTTGCGGGCTGCAGGGTGTTGTTCGTGTCGGCTATGACTGAGATACGATCTGCGATTGCAAGGCGCGCAGCCGCGCCTCTTGATAGCTTCCTTCCCCGTGCCGCCCGGTACCGGAGTTGGGAGGTTGCTGCCAATTCGGAGGGAGAATTAATGCAGATATGGCGCGCGGTAGTCGCGATAGTTCCCTTCCAAATTTCTAAGCGACGTTCAAAGCCGTGTCCTCGCGCGAGTTCGGCGAGTTGGAGAGTTCGGCGCCCGGGTTAGTGCGATAAAGTGCTGCGCCCGACTGCAAAATGACTTATGGACGCATGTAGACGATTTCCATGTCTCGGGTTAAGACCAGTGGATCTGTCAGCTCATATCTAGGACTTGTATAACATTCAGCGATGCAAATGCACCTCTCGAACTTGTCGGTCAATGATAGAGAACCTTCATGCTGCGACAAGGGGCGGAGCGGAGTAGCATCGTGTGAACGGATGCGAACAGTCGGAGGCGGTCGAAAAGGGCGAGCGGCCGCAGTATAGTTACGCGGGGTCCCGTTCACCAAAGCAGGCTGACAAAACCCTCAAGAGGGAAGATCCTAGCCCCGCCCCCAAGCCCCTTACGTAGAACTTCTCTTCCCGTTCACCGGGAACATCGCGGCGAGCGCGATCGCGCAGAGCTAGAGCCAGGCGCCTTTGTAGGTAAGTTCTTCGGCCCATGCTAAGCTGGAGGAGAGTTCTACCGTACAACGACCCATAAGGGCGGACGCAAGGATCCGGAGGTTAGTGGCGCTCCAGTGATTCCGTACCATGAACAGCATGTATGTAGCATGATTGCGTCAGTGATGCGAGTATGTCGATACATTAGCCGGGACACACCTGTACTTTGTCCCACAGGAAAGCCAGCGTTGCACGTTGCTTCCCTGTCGAGATCGACATCTCACCAGTTCTTGGCATGTGGACCTCTGAAAGGCGCCCAGAGAATCGTCGACAACGATCCACCCGGTTCACGACGTTATCGCTGCGCATTACCCAATGGCGACCATCCGCCATCTGTCACAACCAGACGAGAACTCACAAGCATCTGTCACTTGCGATGAGCAAATTACTACTTAGTTGAAGAAGGCAATCGCGCCGACAACTCCAATTGATCGGAAGTTAGCTGAACGCTGGCTGATATCAGCTCCGCAAAGCGTTGCGGAATCCAATACTTGTGTCCTCTTATAGGGCGAGCGTGTCGCCACAAACGACCAACCCGAGTACCCTCGAATGCCTGATCACAGGGCGGTGGTTGTGCGGCGTTCAAAACATACGACGACTTGGCATTAGTACTTCAGCGGCGACAATGAGCGGCGTCCCGCTCCCGAGTCATGGAAGTTCTGAAGCCATAAGGGCCACGTAACAGAACGTAAACTGTATCGATATCTCCGTCCCTATCCCTGCAACGTCCTGTAAAGGAGTGTTACAGGGCTTATAGTTGGACCAATCAAGGATTGACGACCGGGATTTTCCGGCCGAGGTTGATAGATGCCGCGATTCGGATGTTTCGCATGGTGCATACGTCCCTTAGCAGAAATGTATATCACATAGGGACATGCAAGCATTTGCTAAGAAGGCGAAGAACCCACTTACTCAGCTAAGGTACCAGAAGAGGATGTACCCTCCCAGAAGACAGAGTAGGACCTTGACCTGAGGGTCTAGTGCTTGGAACGCCAGGACGCCACTTCCACCTGTACCCGTGCCGCCGGTAGTCGAGTTTCCAGTACCCAAGGTGTGACCCTTGCCCGGGAAAGCTCCTGACCCGGAGCTACCTCCAGACGCATGACGGCGGAGCGCGTCTTCAAGGGCCCTACACATTTCATGTCCGTAGATCCACTAGTTTTTTCCAACAGCAGTTGAAGGAAATGACTCACGGCTTGTTTGCGCCTCGGATCCTATCCACTTCCGCGGTCCCCTTGAGGAAAACAAATGTCGGCCTGAATAGTTACCGATGTTTGAACTCGACATCTTTGCAGAGATGTTATCGGCACTCACATCGCAGTGACGCGATACCTCCCGGCGACGTCCTTCGCTTGGTCCACGTCACACTTGAGGAAGTTGACATCCGTGTATTGTTTCGCCAGCGCTTCATAAGTCGGCGCAATCATATGGCAGGGGCCGCACCTTTTCGCAGTTCAGACAGGATACATCGGAAGAGATGCTCGACCACGTACCATGTAGCATGGAAGTCAATGACCTAGGTCAGTCCAAACTGAATATGCAGCTTTTCAACTTGACATGCGAGGTGCAGCTTACGGAGAGCTTATTGCCCGACTTGTTCAGGATGCCATCGAGCTGTGCAGCGTTCTCCACGTGTGAGACAGACATTGCCTTGGCAAAGAGAGACGTATGACGGGGAAGCTGGTGCGAGATGAATGTAGGCCGGGTGAGAGTGCGGAGAAGCATTGCTCGATGACTACAGCAGCGAGGTCGATGTCGCAGCAGGTACCCAGTCGGCGCCTAACACGACGGACCTTGCCGCAATTCGCGTGCGTCCCCCAAACAAGCGCAAACGCGCGCCGTTTACAGTCGGCTGAACGCGTTCGACGCGGTTCACCTGCCAACCACCATTACATACCTCGTCTTCCACGCATCGTCGTCTGCGGAACACCGACACATCTTCTACACTCAACAATCCTCGTGCGTCATGTCTGGCCGTGGAAAGGGTGGCAAGGTCAGATTCAGTCGGCGTATGCTCCATGTCGCACAAGTTCTGAATTCGCGCCGTGCAGGGGCTCGGAAAGGGCGGTGCCAAGCGTCACCGCAAGATTCTCCGTGATAACATCCAAGGTATCACCAAGCCGGTAAGTAGCCTGTTTGCAGCTTCGCATCGCGTGAATTGAGTCACCCTGCGCCTAGGCTATCCGCCGTCTTGCCCGTCGTGGTGGTGTCAAGCGTATCTCCGGTCTCATCTATGAGGAGACCCGTGGTGTTCTCAAGATTTTCCTGGAGAACGTCATCCGTGACTCCGTCACGTATACTGAGCACGCGAAGAGGTGAGCCACATCATTCAAATTATCATGCTCTCGCCTGCATACTCAACGTCGTTTAGGAAAACCGTGACAGCACTGGATGTTGTCTACGCTCTCAAGCGCTCCGGCCGCACGCTCTACGGGTTTGGTGCCTAAGCGATTTGGGGTCAGTTTCCTATGCTGTATGGTTATATGCGTCACCCGCACATGTACTATCATCCCAGTCTAGTATAATCTTCTTCAGCCCTATCGAACAATGCTATCAGGTGGTTGCATTTAATTGTCGGTGTGCTTCTGCCCATACGTCACAAGAATACTATTTGAGATACCTATGATTAACGATTATGGTGGGTTGTTTGTGTACATGTTACGTAAGGACGTTATTGAGAGGATGTGTAGTTCTTCGTGCGGTATGAAAGTCGTTGTCGAATCCATACCGCCAAATGGCTTTCCACAAATCCCGTGAAACTTCAGCCATGTCTGCGGCGGTCCGTCCGTGAGGTCCGTGGTGGTCGTAAACACTCCAGGCACGATGGTTTGTTTACCCAACCATTTGCGCTCGCGATCGGTCGAGTACGTTTCCAGGACGGACTGAGGCGCGCATCGAATTCATCGATGATCAATTCCAATCAGCAAGCTGAGCGACGGACCTGCAGGTTCTCGGTCTGCGTTTCGGTGTGTCTGAGTAAGCGAACAAGCAGAAGCGCGTCCTCTAGGCCCTGTCCCGCACCAGCACCGAGGTGAGGGAGCGTACCGTGAGCCTGGAAGGTTCACTCGTTGTGGCGGCTCCATGGATAGTGCTTCGATAACGACCGACATACTGCGTCTCACAGAAGAGCCGCATGCCCCTTGCTGTATCTCTCAGATGGGGGCACACGACGTAAACAGACCAAGGCACCGTCTTCTCCGGCGTGAATCGGAGAAGCGTCACCACGTCGACGCCCCATCCGTCGAAGGCCTTCTGAATGTCTTCCCGAGACACTTGGTCGACCCGAGGAGTACCTTCCGGCAGGTTCTGGGACCCTATGGGGACGTCGTACCTAGCCGACAAAGCCGCGATCTTGAGCTGTAGAAGCGACGGAAAACAGTGTATTGGTAACTTCATTCAACGCCGTAAGCCTGTAGGATGTGAGTGTCATGCGAGTCCGCCGTTCATGATCGGGACGACGGTGGCATGCCGATGAGACGACGGGGGTTTCGTTTTGCGACATCAGCTTGGACTCGGAGCCAGCACACATCGACCGCCGACCTTGCCTGGCCCGAGGAAGCACGCAGAATGATCCGTCAATTTGGCCTTGCAGCCAGCGGAATCGAGCTGGGCGTATGGAATTGAACTACGACATGCGATAGCATTGCTGATTGCAAGGTTCTTGGCGGTTCGCCCGGCGACTACGAAGTGGCGCACCGCGCTCTTGATGTCGTCTGCGCCAAGAACGACATCCGTTTCATGCGTAGTGCCATCTGTGAAATGGGCTAGAAGGCGACTTGGGTTCGTGGGCGATTCCGAGATAGAGGTGCAGCGTTTGTTCAAACGCGTGCTTCGTGGGTCTACGAGTCCGACCAGCGCGTCGAGGAAGGCGGCACTGATGCGCCAAGGCGAGAAGCACCCGGTTAAGCCGATGTTAGAGAGCGCCTCGCGGTACACAGGTTCAGGAAGCGGATAAGCCGAAAACTTCACCGGTGCATGCTGATAGTGGCATCTTCCGGGGAAGGTGGATGCTGAGTACAACAATCCTGAACGTGAGTCATTTTGAATCCCAACGTTGAGGATGTTCAGACAGCTTCGGGTGATACGTACGTTACGAATTAGCTCATGCTTCTTCGAGGCCCGAATAGAACAGGAAGCCTTTGAAGCCCAGGTCGGTTGGGGCAATGTTCTGGAAAACCGCACCCATAACCTCAAGGCTATGCACGGTAGTGGGCCCTACCACGAGTCAGTTCGTTCACACTCAGGTTGGGGATGAAATGAATGAAGCAGCCAAGCCGATGCCGAGTAGCCTACAACGAGGTCTGCAGAACTGAGGGATAACCACCCTTGCAGGTCTGCAGACCTCCCTCACATGCCGAATCACGTGGGTCAGGGGAGAGGGAGGTCTGAGACGGGCAAGGGAGGTCTGCAGACCTGCAAGGGCAATTAACCCTAGGGTCTGCAGACCTCGTTGTAGTCTCTACCGATGCCCGCCATTATCTGACTCAAGGCCGTCTAGAATTACAGACGTAAGACAATGCCTTCTTATGATACATGAGCATAGCTCGTCCGACGCACCGCGACTACAAGGACTTCCACGCTAATACCTGCATTCTGACGGGCAGCGGAGGATGCCAAGCCGTACACGCCACCACCAATGACGGCACCTTCGAAGTCTTTCTTTCTTAGATGCTGTGGACATGGGTTCTCGTGAGGATGAGTCGATGTTAACAGAGCGGTCTCGACACAACGACCCCCCATTATCGGCGATTTCGAGCACTAGCTTCGCTCGCCGGGAAGCGTACGTATATCGGCGTAACTGATTGCGTGAAGACCCAAAGTCAGCCAGCGCTAGTACGACAGGAGACCATGCGTCCCAGAATGGCAGGCAGTGGCTTCTGGTCCTAATAAGGCCAAACAACGCATATTGTGCGAAGTTCGGACTCAGTGACCAGCTAGACTATTCCCAAGTCTGCGCAATCGGTGCAAAGCTCAGCTTTCCCTCCCACCGCCTGACCTCCAGGTTTTTCATTCAAGCTCTTATCAATACGAGAAGCACAGCGTGACAAAGCCATCACGTGTGATCCATTTCAGTTCCCATCGCCGTAGCCATGCACCGTGCCTAGGCCCTCTGCCTCTCCTTGCCAACTTTGTCACAAACCCTCAACTCCGTATACAAGATGCCGATAGCACACTGGTTCTCGCTCTCCAAGACGCCATTCCTCGCGCGATCCTCGCATTGCTTGTCTGTAACGAAGTCCGGGATCCTCATCGTGTACGGAGGAGAGCTCAAGCCCCGCACGCCGATCGACGCGGGAGTGGGCCGCGATGCTACTCCCAGAGGCTCGCTTCACGTGTTCGATCTGGCTAAAGGCCTGCTCTCACAAGGATGGCGAATGCTAACGCCGGATCCGAAGCACACTTGTGACTTCGCGGACCAGAACAGCGCGCTTCCTCAACCACGGGTAGGCGCAACCACCGTCTGGCTCAATGATGCTCTGTACTTGTGGGGAGGCCGAGGAGGAGAGGACATGACTCCTCTGGATGCCCATCAAGTTGGGGTCTGGAAGGCGACTATCAATGCCTCCGAGGGCCCACAGCAGTCCGTACGATGGGAGCGAATTGTTGCGACGAACGAGGACCAGGCACCGGAGTCCCGTAGTTACCATGCGTCCGTCGCTCTCGGGGTACGTACCTCAATCTATCATCGCGGACGGCCCCCACTGTTAGGTGGCTCTCATACTGCTTCACGCCTCACGTAGGGCAACATCTACATCCACGCGGGCTGCCCGACGAGTGGCAGGCTCAGCACACTGCACGCGTTTCATGTCAAGGATTACTCATGGAAGGTCCTCGCGTCCGCCCCTGAGCCAGGTCGCGGAGGCACCTCACTTGCTGCAACGACCGTAGCTGGGAAAGACTTGCTCTTGCGTTTCGGCGGTGTGTATTGGCTCCCATGTTCTCTATTCTGGCGTGAGATCGACGGTTTATCATCCATCTTCAGGCTTTTGCGGTCAGCAACTTCCGAGCGCGGCTGGTGAGGTAGACATTTATATCATTGCTGAAGACAAATGGGTGACTGTCCAACCCACCGCCGACCCCGTACTCGGGAGCCCTGGACCGCGCTCTGTTGCCGGCTTCGCGCACTTCCAATCTCCTTTCCCAGCCCTATCAAACTCTGTCGCGGTTCTCTATCACGGAGAGCGCGAAGCCAGCAGCCAGGGCCATGCGGGTGCAGGGCAATTTTGGGACGATGTCTGGGTGCTTTTGAAGGAGGGCGATGACGTGCTCAACGGCTGGCAATGGCAGCAGCTCGAGGTCTACTCCGACGATCACCTCCCGGAGGGTCGTGGCTGGTTTCCACCTGCAGCATGGGTGGATGGGCACGGGGATACGAAGCTTGTGCTCTTTGGAGGTCTCTTGTCGTCGAATGAGCGATCCGACGAGCTTTGGGAGCTCGAGATTAACTGATAGACAGGTGAGTCTATTGACCTTGCCAATGTTGTCATGTGGCAATCTGCAACATGATGTATCTGATTGTTCTGGATGGTCAGGGTTCGTCGCGAACATTGCGTTTGTGTATCAAGTTACGTCGTACATGTGCGCCGCGTCAGGGCCGATCAGCTATTTTTATCTTCAAACCCTGTGGTACGCGAGGAGAATCACGTTGTGTATGGTTGAGATGTTGAGATGTTATGCGGCCGGTGATCGCCTGTGCCTCATCGCAGATCAATCTATCTCGCTGTCACCCAGAATCGGCACACTGTACAACGAGGACGAGCTATTCCCATTCGTTGCTGAGATCGGCGACGAAGGTGGAAGCTGCATGGCCTCCAGTCTCCGCGCCGTCTCGACGTTAAAGCGCGCCTAATGTGGAAGATAGGCCATCAGCGCGCCCGTGGCACATGGAGGGGAGGGCACTCACGATTCTCTCCACACTGAGAAGACCTCCATAGTCCCGAAGCCTGTCTTCAGGTGTCGTCTCCAGGAAGTCTTCTAAACTCACTTGCGATAGCAACAGGGATGAAGCGAACAGATTCATGCCGTCCACTCCACACAGGTCGTATTCTCCCTAGAAAGTAACAATAAGGCATCAGTACTCTTCGAGCTAGATCCATATGGAAGAACAGACATCGCGGTCCTCGTGGGTTAGCCAAAGCCGCTGGCCCCAGATTGCCCCGCCGGTCACGTCTCGCGCCTCGGCGGAGTCTCCGTATTGCCTTGCAAAGACGGCAGCTTCTTCGACCGACTTTGCGAACGCGTACTCCACGACGCATGTCTCGCGCTTGGTCTGCAGACCTTCGGCTATCGACAGATCTCTCTTGAAATTCTTGACCGCCTTCACGACAGGCGGACTCCATACACTTGCGACGAAATGGTCAACGACCGTCCTGTTCACGGGGCCGGCGAAGTCCCAAGCAGACGGGTAGCACTCGAAGACAAGTAGTAAGCGAAGGTAGCGCCAGGACAGTCGGCTCAGCAGTGAGAGCAAACCAGACGCCCGAGCAGGCAACAACTCCAATGAAGCAAAGATGACCGCAGTATCGCAGTCCAGGATCAAGTCTTCCGACTCAGAAGCCACGTCGCCGCCGCCGAGGTGTTCGCGTTCGATGAGTTCGATGGCGCAGTAGGAGGCGAGAGCTCGGACGAGCGCACGTTTCTGGATCAGGGTCAGCGAAGCCATATATCTGTGCTGAGTATGTGGCAGTCCGTGATCGCCTTGGAGGCCGATAGTGCGATCATCGAGAACTTCAGTAGGAATGCCCCGAGGGGCGCAGGAAGCGATTGGTTTCGTGGCAGAGCCAGCGGCCATAGAGTCGCTGTCCTCACTTCCAGAAACAGACGCGGGAGCTTCAGCACCAATGTTTGAGCACGCCTTTCCACATAGAGCTAGATACTGAGCAAGCGATTGACCAGTGGAGAGAACATGTAGAGTAGGGGCAGGGGAAGACGGCCGCAATTTGTCGTCCTTGACCATCACGGCCGAAGGCAAGTATGAGCTTTGCAACTTCTCGCAGTCCGCAGTGGGTGCCGTGGGGGGTCGGCAAGCAGGGTCGGCAAGCGTGGCGGATAGACTCCGAGAGTCGCGAGTAACACGTCCTGGGCTAGGCGGGTCCGCAGCCGCAGCCACATTTGGCGGAGTCCGTACGTATTCGAGATTCGCGGGAGCGAAAATACGGCCATCGAGTAGCGACTCAATAGGAAACGCGCAGTCAATATTCGGAGACGCAAGGAGGTTCGAGAAGTCCATCGAGAGCAAATTCCCGGAGCCGAGGTCGTAGGAGTGATCTGGATGCATGTCAAGGAAAAGGTCTCCGTCGGTGGTAGGCCCGTTAAATCCTTCCGTTTCATAAGCCATTTGCACAAAGGAGGTGCTACTGAGATCACATCGGGAGTCGCCAAGGGTTCCCAAGTCCGTGAGGAAGACACCAGACTCGTCAAGTTCCGTCGGAGCGTCCCCGAGCTCCGTCAGGCTCGTCGGTTTGTCAGGAGCCTCTCCGAAAGACGCACCCGGAAAGACATGGACATTACCCGGCTCTTCAAATCTCACCTTCTTTCGGGGTCGCTCGATAGGGGAGCTGCTATTGGTTTGCTCCTTGTCTTCATTGCTACCTCCGACATCCTCGTTGGCCTCGCTCCAATCCACCAGAGGAAGACCTGCTAGCCGTCTCCGGTCGGCGCGAGTCAGTATGAGACTGGGCTCATCAAGATGATTCGATATGGCAAAGTCATGCAGGTCGACTTCGTCATCCAGCTCCCAAACTCGTTCGGGCCCAGTACTATCTGCCGACTGAGATAGAGAAAGCATCGAGTTATCGTCCAAGAGCTCTGAAAGACGGCGTGCGATTTCGTCCCGCGGAAGTTCGATGGCCTTTGCAAGATGCAGGGATAGTTCGTCGGCTACATCGGCGACCTCTTCGTCCGTAGGAATTGTGCGACCATACTTGAACGGACTAGCAGGAAGTTCAGGTATAAACCAATGATGCATTAGCTCGTACTCACATCCAGCTCAGCTCGAGTTGCAGCGACTGCAGACCCTTGACTTTCTGCAGGAAGCTCGTACAGTCCCTTGTATGCGTCGTCTGATTAACACCAGAGAGGGCGATAGCGTGACCCGGTCTGCCGGAGAGGAGTAAATCGGATAACCGGGTAGGTGGCGAGACTCCAGTAGGATGTTCGTTTGGAGGGCGCAGAGTTGGCACTGAAATGTATGCTCGTCAGCCATTCAATCCACTATGGATACGTGCATATTCCTCTTCGCGAGATATGCGTACCATCCATCGAATGCTCTTCCTTCTCGTCTATCTTCTCACCCGTGATTATACTATGCGGATCGTCTTCCCCTACGTGACCTCCACACGCTCGTTCGACGAGCTTCGTTGCAAACGTCATAGAGTCATCGCTAACCAGAACGTCGTTTCCGGGCCGAAGTGTAATGTCGTATTCTCGTTCTGAGACACGTGCCTCCTCCGGTGCCGCTTCAGATGGAGGCTGGCCGAGCATAGACATCGTAATGGTGGTACGAGGCGATGACGGTTGCGACTTGGGGGAGCGAGCAATTCTCAGACTAGGCGCATGTAAGGGGCGAATGAGCGGAGAAATGAAAGCTGACAAGCTACTCTCGCTGTTAGCAAGAATATGCGTCTATGGTGCCACCCTCACCTCTCCATCTCCCCCAGTCGCGGTCGCTTTGAGCATGACACGCCGTATCTCTCTGATTTGGGAAACTGATACTCCTCTGAGGACACCTTTCACAAGCCCGTCGCGCTATTTTGAAGCTGACAGCACATACCCATAGGAAGGAAATCATCTTGCGACACCGCCTCTTGCGACGATCGAAGGAAAAGTTCGTCGACGTCGCTAGAGCTATCCGCGAGGGACGGCGTGCCCAAGGTCAAGGGAGAAGACGGCGTCTTGAACGCATCTACTTGCATCGTCAGTATGATAGTTCAAGGACAGACTGCACATCGCGTACGCCATCCGCCAGCAACGACGAGGTGTTCGTTGTCCAGGTCATCCTCATCCTCTTCTTGAATGTCTACCCGGGATAACCACGGTTCCGGATGGTGGGCCACGGCCTCCAAAGACGCCATGAAGGGATTTTCTCCGGATCTTAGCTGCGCCAGACTTTGCCCTGGCTGCCGAAAGGTTGGAAATATTGGCAAGATCTCAGGTTCGAGAATTTTGGGCAAGGGCGTGTCTGCACGCAGGAAGTCGTCTAAGTGCCTTGTTGTGGACACCACGTCCGGCCGGGCTGACATGATGGAGGTTGAGTGAATGAGCGATAGGACGGCCTGGTGGCTCTCTGAATCCATTCCAAGCTTGTTCCCGCTTGGGCATATATCAACGCCTGGCTCTCAACGTGGGAGTCAGCACTTACAGAGCCTCGTCTTCATCTACTACCACTTCGTGGAAAGTAGCCTCTCCGATCTCAGTTATGTTCCAGGCTTGGAGGATCTCGCGGCCGCTTCGAGAATGCGTTGCTACGCTTAGCCTTCTATTGAGAAGAGGTGTCTCATCTCTGGAGCGGCGTGACAATATGGGGGACATGGGCCTGCTCAGCAAGAATGTGCTGTGGTCTTCTGCGACGAAGCTCAGCGCATAATGAGGACCTATGGATCAAACACATACCATCGCTACAATCTTTCCATACTCGTTCTGTCGCCCCACCGCTTCTAAGCACGTCCATCTCCCTCTTGAGATAAGATAAGGTCTTGACATCCTCGACCACCCAACGTTCCTCATAGACGTCTAGTTTTGACAAGCCCCATTTCTGACATAGGTACTCGAACGGATCCTTTGTAAGAAAGACATCTGTCGGAGAGCGCGTCGGTGCATATGCCAGCGATTCTGAGAGGAGCTGTTCAAGTTAAGTGGCCTTCAGCCAGAACCAGAACGTGTATGATGTGAGTATATGCTCACGTTTGCGACACTGTCCTGCGTCCAGGTAACATAATTGGTGGTAAGATGCTGTAAGGCGTACTCCGTCATCAAGCTATGGACATGAGCTCGAAGCTCAAGTTCTCCAGCAGAACCAGAGTCCATCGGCCTGCAGTTTGAGAAGTCGAAGCGATTTTGGACGCTGGCTGTCTCTGGTCCGTGGGCGCTCTGAGGCATTGGCGGATGTTTCCCGAACCATACGAGTTGATTACATAGGCGCCCAACGGCATGATGTTCCATCAGGGCCGCGCGCTGTGAGTTCATCCCTTCCACGGAGCTCTGGGCACTAACTACACAGTCACGCTGTCTCACCAGTTGACTTCCAAAGCAAAAATCCTTCAGTCATTATGCAGCTTGTAGCTTAACTGATTGCTTCCGGGCTGGCCATAGCACACGTCTCTGCTCCAGGCTACCACAGACGTCAGCCAGCTGACAGGCCAGGAATATCACGTCTCCCAAAACCAGCGAAAGAGCAGGTATCATGGTCCACCAATACTGTTGAAATCCAAAATAGCGTTGTTCCTAGCCCTTGTATGCTTCGTCCTAATTATCGACTGGTGGTCTCGCTTCTCGTTACTATTATGGTTCATCTTTTTATTCACCACTGCGGACCCCACTATCCAATGTCCTCTTTTGTTCTCTTGTGTCGCACATACTCACGGCAGTCACAGGAAACCGGATGCCCGTGCGATCCCGTGACAGGCATGCCCGCTGTTTGTCGCGGCCGGTCCAACTTCGGCCTCTAAAGAAGGATAGAAAACCGACGCCTAGATACCTGTTAAGGTATGGATGGTAGAGAAACGGTCTTTCCGGAGTCGTTTTCTGACCAATTCTTGGCATCGGGCAGCATGTACTGTTCCTGAGACAGGATTTTCAGCTTTCTTCACGCGGTGCCAGTACTATATGGAACGACTGATTCCGCAGCAGGTTGCATATAAGACTCTGCATGCCGTCAAAACGTCTAGCCGCCTCCCCAGCACTTCCGCATCGTGAAATATGTGGAGAAAGAATCTCAGTGCTTTCGTCTCTTCCGTCTTGCTCTTGCTGCCATCGTCTGCGTCTGGAAGGCTCGACACCCTCGACATACATACTAGCTCGGGGATTTTCAGAGGCGTCGCAACAGCAAATGGAACAGAGCGTTGGCTGGGCATTCCATTCGCTCAACCACCCATTGGGTCATTGCGTTTCAAAGCTCCTGTACCCTTCGTCAATCGGTCGACGTCCATACAGGATGCCTCCACCTTCGGGAATGCTTGCCCACAAGTTCCTTCGACCAGTCTTGGCGCGCCTCAGTCGGAGGACTGCCTGTTCCTGAACGTGGGGAAGACTCTTAGATCTCATGGATCTGCGCTCAGTACTTCCATTATGTCAGGTTTTCCGCCCCAGCAACATCAGCACCTCAGAGAAGATCCCCGTCTTGGTCTGGTTCTATGTGAGCACCAACTGTCCATTCTCATGCTGCGCACTTCAGGTCCTGAACAAGTCCCTCTAACCGCGCAGGGCGGCGCCTTCATGAATGGGTAGGCACGGCACCATACGACTGCGTCATCGCGCAGGCTAATCGCACCGAACCGTTTCCCATAGGGCTGCTTCTAATCCACAGTTCGATCCCACGTGTGAGCACCAGTGGAATGGCTTTGACACGGTTGATGTCCCTCATGCCATATGCGACAGTTCTCATCCAGCGCAGCGTTGCGACCAGCAAGCCGATAATGTTTGTTTCTGTGTACGTACGCCAAGCATGCGCATAGGGTTACCAGACTGATCGACTTGGCGCAGCAACTACCGCGTCAACACCTTTGGCTTCGTGAGCCCCGATGACTTCTCGAACCGGGGTGCCACGTATTGAGTCGTAGTCGAACAGCTGGCAAGCAGCCATGTTCCTGCCTCGGACCTGAACGCTGGCTTGCAGGACCAGCGAGCCGCCCTCGAGTTCCTTCAGGAGAATATCGCCGCCTTCGGAGGTGACCCGGAGAAGGCAGGTCTGCTTGCTTATGGACGCTGTTGACTTACTCTGATATCCGATACAAGGTTACTATATGGGGACAGGTCCGTAACGACACTTTGGATGGCAAGCTGGTTTCTTAATGGGAACAGTCCGCAGGCGCAGGGAGCGCTGAAGCACAGGTTCTCTTCCCTTCTTCAAAGAAGTTGTTCAGGGCGGCGATTTTCGACTCTTCTACCGGACCATTGTGAGAGTGTATCTTCCTCCCGCACTCGCTATTCACTGACCCCTTTCCCTGCCTACCGTCGTGCATTAGCAAGACGGCGCCGCCTGCGAGCACCTATGACAAACCGGGCTTCCCGTTTGCAAGCCTGGTCAACCTGACCGGATGCCCCTCCGGACCGGCGTCGTTTGCCTGCCTACAGAACCTTCCATTTGAAGTGAGCACCAGTGTTAGTGCAAATCGAGCTTAGCTAATCCTTTGTTCAGACTCTCAACAACGTTTCAGTTGCCATGACTAACGAAGTACTGAACGGCCAGCTGTGGCAGCCTACAGTAGGACCTGCAGGCAGTTTCATCACCGAACGGCCCTCGCAGCGCATCGCTAGCGGCAAGTTTCTCCACGTACCTATCCTTGCTGGTACCAATGTGAGCAGCCTCGTACAATCTCAATTCAGCCATCCCTCAATTCCTCTCCTCCAGCTCAACGAAGGGACAGTTTTCAGTCAGTCAGTGCGCAACCTCAGCGTTCTGGCTAGCGAGGAAGACGCCAGATTCGACACGTTCATCAAGCAGCTCCTCATCGACCCTTCGACAGTCACCCAAGATGTCTTCGACACGATCAACAGCCTATACCCTGCCAATGACTCCAGCCTGGGAGGCCAGTTCAATACCGGGGATTCGCTATTCGACCGCGCGGAGGCGTGGTATACTGACAATATGTACCTATCCGCGAGACGGCTGTTGTTCGACAAGGCTGCATCGCTTCAACCGCTCTTCGCCTACTTCTTCACGGAGTTCATCCCTGGCAACGACCCGTCTTTAGGAGGTTAGTCCTTCATTGCGTCTTCGCATGCTACATCATCTTGCTGGACGTATTGGGTATATATGTACAGTCTTCCACGGGTCCGAACTGGAGTTGCTCTTCGGACAGTTCCCGGCCGTCGAGCAAGAATTCGCCAACCAGATGGCAGACTTCTACATCAATTTCATCAGCGACTTGAACCCAGGCGGTGAGCACGTTTCCATCGCTATCTTCAGTGGTGATCGAGGCTTGCTCACTTGTTACTCCAGCGCCATGGCCTCAATTCACGCCGACCAATAGGGTCGTGCTCCAGCTCATGCGGGACAATATCACCGCCATACCCGATGGTAAGTACTCGCTGCCACACCTATAGAGCCTCGTCCTCATGGCGCGCAAAGACTTCCTAGTCAATAAGACCATGTTCCTGGACTCGGCTCACGTACTGAGCGAGTTCCAGAAATGAGAACAGCGCCCGTGACCGACAGATGGAGGCTAGGCATTCAAGGGGTAACTTTCAGCGATTCTGAGAGCACCGAGAACGCACATTCGCACATCCACTCCTCCCCTTCGTCCCAGGAGAATTGTTAGGGGCAGGATGCTGTTAGCACATGCTTTGTGAATCTGAAGTTCGCCATCTTATCCAATGGTGTTCGTCAATCTGTTGTCCGAGAATTTACATGAGTTCTTGCCCATGGGCGTTCTTCGGGGACATCCGTTCTCCAAGAATATAGGGCTCGTATAAGCCACCGATCTGTTGTCCGGCGGCGGTCTGTATGATAGAGACGAGATTTGCGAGTTCGAGCGTTGGAAGCGTAACAGTTCTTTGTGCATGTGCTATAGTTTAGGATATCAATTAGATACCAATACACATCTCGCTAGCTAATGTACATATATGCTTTCGGCTTGATCTAGCTTACGACATGCCGTTGCTTAGGATCTAGGAAGGTGAACTTCTCCGGGCATAAGCAAGGCCGATTATAACGAATGGGCAGCGAACGCGCCCTCTGTGCGGAGCTGGCTGACGGCGTGCTCGATATCCGCCTCGAGGTCATGTTGCCAAACAGGATCGAATTGGTGTCGTAGTTTCTCCCGGAGCACCTCAACATCCGACCTCTCCGCTCCTTGCAAATCGTTGATCGTGCCTGAAGTGTAACTCATGTTCCATATCATCTGCGCCCGGGGTCGACGAATGCTTGAGTACGTCTTCAGAACGGCCTGCATGCAGATGTTATCCGGCTGATTGGCTAGTGATGCCAATTGGGACGTACCTCCAGATTGTCGACATGTGTCTCGGGATGGCCCAGCAGACGGGAAAGAATATAGGCATCTTCAAGACCCTGTCCGGCCCCAGCTCCTAAATGGGGTAGCATGGCATGTGCCTGAAACCTCACCAAGGTCAGTGCAGACGGCGTGGAGATATGTCCATCAGGATGCGTACCGCGTCGCCGATCAAGACCACCTGGTCTTTGACGAAGCTATCCAACGGCGGGTGGACGACGTGAATAAACCATTTACTGGGTTTCTCTGGCATGCACTTCAGTAAAGCGGCGATGTCGGGCCCCCAGCCTTCGTATTCTTTCTCCATCTCCTCCTTCGGCACTACCTCCACCCATGGTGTTCCTGGCGGAAGCTTTGCAGACCCAATGGGGACATCGTATCGAGCAACGAAGGCAACGACATTGATCTGCATGTGTCCTGTGAGCTGGACACTCCAGGAGAGAGGGATCGTGGAACACGCACTAATTCGCCATTCCTGAGAGGGAAGAGAATGAAGTGCTAGACGTGACATGTTCAGGAGTGTCGTTAAATCCGCACAGAATTGCGTGATACCTTGCTCGGCCCAAGGAAACAAACTGGGTCGTTCACCACAGAAGCCTTGAACCCGGCCGCCTGGAGCTCCTTGTACCGTACGAGCCCTCGGTATGCTATCTGGTTGCTGAATGTAATTCTATCGTCGCTTCCGTCCAAGACAAAGCTGCGAACAGCACTCTTGATCCCGTCCGCCCCTATCACGACGTCGGTTTCATGAGCAGTGCCATCTTGGAAGTTGATGACCAGACGTCTCGAGCCTTGTGCGGAACGAACGATAGAGGTGCATCGTTTGTTGAAGTGGGCACTTTGGGGGTCCAGGACACCCATAATCGCTTCCAAAAAATCAGCTCTATCGCATATGACAGTTAGAAACGGTCAACAAAAGTATGGATCGCAGTACCTATGCATTCCTATCCCTTTGTCTTCAGGGTGCGCCTCGTACTAGAGTCGACGTAAGAGGCCGGAGCTCAGAATCAGATGTACGTACGCCTACCGCGAAGATCTTCTGATTGTCTCCAAGACCGCCATAATAAACGAAACCTCTAGTCCTGAGCTCTGAAGGGCTGATCTTCTTAAGAAGCTCATCGAGCAAGCCCATGGCTCTCAGAGCGCGGACAGCGTTTGCACCTGCGTTGAAAATGACAAATGTGAGTCATGACCAGCACATGGCGAGAGCATAAGAGCAAACCTATTCCAATCCCTGCCCCGATCTGTTCGAAAGCGGCCTGGAGGTGGGCGTCGGTAACCAGCATGCAAGGCACGCTGTAGCAAATGACTGACCGCTGCCTCGAATAGCTGTACTGATACCCCTGCCCGCTGCAAAGCAATGGCGCAGACCAGGCCAGACACACCCCCGCCGACTATGGCCACCTGGAAGTCTTTTCTTGCTGGTGTACCCATTGCGTGAACGTAGTGAGGAAGCTAGGCTATCGCCCATCATATGCAGCTTTCGCTATATAGCAGTCGTATACTTAGCTCAGATATGACCGGCACACGAGAAGCGCTGTTGTCGGATAAATAAAGAGCTTGGTAGTTGTCAGCCTGAGAACAGCCCAAAGAGTCTGTACATGCCGATGGGAGTCGGGCGATATTACGGGAGAGGCGTGGGCACTAGAAGGCCCTAATTGACAAGGCAACAGGACGAATGTGTGCGTCCAGGGGGAGATAACGTACCTCGAGGTGCCGGGAGCGGCATCCACTGCACAAGCCGGTCGATTAAGAGGACGCAGTAAGGTTGGGCACAAATTCGCTTGTGGGGCTAGACTGGTCCTGAGTAGACCGCAAATTTTGTGATGTAGTGTATACTTGTGTGGAAGCCGTCATTTTGCGTGTAGCTCCGACTCGGTAAGGCGGAAATTTTAAAGTTGCACATACCAAATGATACACACCACTGTTTGGGCCCCTGCGATCCAGCTTTCGCCGCATGTATTTGGACTGTACAGGTATCACAACTTTCAAGCCGACCTTGTTTTTGCCAATCGTCCGCTACGCAGCCTGTGAAGGCCTTTGAGTGGGATCTGCGATCGTACGGCTTGAGGCTCCTATGCACGGTATGCCAGTCAACAGAGTCGATGTTCGAAGTGCCACCAGTAGTCACCAATGTTGCGACGCAGCTGGTGGGATTTCTAGACAAGAACAGGCGTGTTCAATTCTTGTCGCTCGCTCACTTCCTCGCGCGCCTACTGGGCGCCTGCTTACCTGTATTCAAGGTCAGATCAAGCGCCTGTAGCACAGCGAGCAGAGGTGCGCAGGCAGCGGGTGCAGCGAGATCGACGTTTCCGTCCTATGCTAGGTTTGTTATGCCCAGAAAATCTGTCCAGAAAGTGGATGGAGACGTCGGCAGATCGTTATAGACTTGTTGACCGAGAATGATTGTACACAATGCGCCCAAATCGGAACCAGATCCGGCACGACACGGTTCACTGGCCACCTGGGGTTGCCACAGTACTGTAAGCCTTGCGGGACGACTCCGCGTCTCGAGTCATGGAGCTCTCTATCTTTCGAATTGTTAAGCTTTCGCGTCGCTCCTCAGTCCCAGCTCGCGACCCTGATGCGGTCGTGTTGCACCCGCTGCCTGCGCACCTCTGCTCGCTATGCTACAGGCGCTTGATCTGACCTTGAATCCAGGTAGGCAGACGCCCGGTAGGCGCGCGAGGAAGTGAGCGAGCGACAAGAATTGAACACGCCTAACAAGTGATCCCGCAGTCAGCTGGGCTTCAGGGCGTCTATCTGACGCTCGGTCTCGGAAACAGTCTCCTAAACCAACTATGGACGCATATTTCTGCATATTCTCCTCCGCTTTACCATCTTCGTGCCCTCTATCACGCAGGCCTTCCAGGACGACATTTCTTTTGGAATGCAAGTATCTTCGCGATGAGACCATCGTCAACCGGGGCAAAGCGCCGCCATCCGGATGTCCCCGTGCCAGCAGCTTCCGGAGACGGAACCAGTGTCTCGACTGGCGACGATGCTGGGTGCAATGGCACGTCATGCTGCTCCGGTTGGGGATCGCGTCTGAATTCGCCAACCGCGTCTACCACACCATCCGACGTGATCTGTGATCGTGATGTTGGGGCCCGTTGTCTAAATGGTTGCTTTCAGGTGAACTCCGTACCATGGCCACACCTTCTTGATGCTACCAACGAAATCATATAGCCAAAAAGCCAGTAGTGCTACGACCCTCACACCTACTGATCAACTTCGTGATTTTGAAGGACACCAATGCTGACGAGTACCAAGTTCAGCTTGCTCCTTCTTCTAAACACTTCGTGCTAAATATTGAATGATTGTCTAGCTTCGCGTACAATCTCGGCCCAGCTCTCTGTCCACCGTGACCGACACGGCTGTCCAATGCCCTACTTCATCGTCACCTCTCGCCCATAATTACGGCAACCACAGGGGACCGGGAGCCCGTGCAATCCCGTGACGCAGTCATGCTCGCTTTTTGTCGCGGCCCGTCCACCTTCGCCTGTCAAAGAAGGATGTAGAGCGGGCGTCCGGAAACTTTCTACGCTATGTATGAGGTCACCATGCGTCGCCTTCTGATCAGCATCAAGCTGAATCTAGTGCCCTTGGGGCATTACTCTTCGTTTTCTTCGCGCGGCACCGGTGCATCCTTCTCTTCATGAACGGCCTAAGTCTCCAACAAGCTGGGGTATAAAATATTGCGCGCCGTCAGAGCGACAATCCGCCCCCCCTCCCCCCAACACCTCTACGCAGTGAATTATGGGGAGAAGCTTCTTCGGTGTTCTCGTCTCATCCGCCTTGCTGTTGCTTTCGTCAACTTCTGCGTCTCCGGTCTCGGATCCCCTTGTCATACACACACCTTCTGGGACTTTCAGAGGCGTCGCGACAGCGAATGGAACAGAGCAATGGTTGGGCATTCCGTTCGCTCAACCACCCATCGGGTCATTACGGTTCAAAGCTCCTGTTCCCTTCATCAATCGGTCGACGTCCATTCAGGATGCCTCGACCTTCGGGAATGCATGCCCACAGGTTCCTTCGACCAGTCTTGGCGCGCCTCAGTCGGAAGACTGTTTGTTCCTGAACGTAGGAGAGATTCTCCGGACTTGGGACGCATGCTCCCTACCTAAAATTTCCCCAGGTCTTCCGTCCCAGTAATGTCAGCACTTCAGAGAAGATTCCGGTCTTATTCTGGATCCACGTGTGTGCCATCCTCTCACAATATTGCGCATCAAAACGTTGACAAGGCCTCTCTGACTGCGCAGGGTGGCGCCTTCATGCAAGGGTAGGCACAATACTACACAAACGCATCATTACGCAGCCCAATTCACCAAGTTTCGTACCACAGGGCCGCTTCTGACCCAGAATACAATCCCACGTGTGAGTGATTTTATATTTGTCTTGGCACATCGACTATCCTCATACCATGTACGATAGTTATCATCCAGCGCAGCGTAGCGACGGGCAAACCAATCATATTCGTGTCTACGTATGTACGCCGAGTCATCAGTCGCGCCTTCGGATATTGATGGCCTGGAACCCAGCAATTACCGCCTCAACACGTTCGGCTTTGTAAGGCCTTCCGACCGTTCAGATCCGTGCGCTGTTCATTGAACGATCATTCCCCAGTTGGCCAGCAGACATGTCCCCCCTTCGGACTTGAACGTTGGCCTTCAAGATCAGACTGCAGCTCTTGAGTTCGTACAGCACAATATCGCTGCGTTCGGAGGTGACCCTGAGAAGGCAGGTTGTATCTGCGCTCACGCATGTCGCGAGCTCTCTGACAATCTATCCTAGGTCACCATATGGGGTCAGGTATGTCTGTACTGTTGAATCACCGACCTGCTCTTCTCACCGCAAACAGTCCGCAGGCGCAGGGAGTGTCGAGGCACATGTTCTCTTCCAGTCCTCCACGAAGCTGTTCAGGGCGGCGATGTTCGACTCGTCTACCGGACCATTGTAAGAGGAGAGCTGCTCTACTACATTACCTACTCACCCGTTTTTCTCATCATCGCTGTTTGATAGCAAGACTGCGCCGCCTCCCAGCACCTATGATGAATCTGGCAAGCCCTATGAACGCCTGGTCAACTTGACAGGCTGTCCCTCGGGACCACAGTCGTTCGCATGCCTGCGAAGCCTTCCATTTGAGGTGAGCGTGTCGTGCCGTGTGCTAAGAGTGTAGCTTACCCTTCCCTCCAGACTCTTCAAAATGTCACGGTCGCCATGACCAATGAGGTACTGAACCAGCAGCTGTGGCAGCCTACAGTGGGACCTGCCGGAAGCTTCGTTAGCGAACGTCCTTCGCAGCGCATTGCGAGCGGCAACTTCCTGCACGTGCCCATCCTTGCTGGTACCAACGTGAGCAGTCTCGTCATACCTCGACTCCAGCCGTATCCTCAACTTCTTTGCGTCAGCTCAATGAAGGGACCACGTTCAGCCAGTCTGTGCGCAATCTCAGTGTCCCATCCAGCGAGGAAGACGCCGCCTTCGACACGTTCATCCAAGAACTTCTCATCGATCCCTCGACTGTCACCCAAGATGTTTATGACACCATCAACACATTGTACCCTGCCAATGACTCCAGTCTGGGAGCACCGTTCAACACCGGAGACTCGTTGTACGACCGTGCTGAAGCTTGGTACTCTGACAACATGTTCCTGTCCCCTAGGCGGCTGCTGTTCAATAAGGCCGCGTCCCTCCAACCGCTGTTCGGATACTTCTTCGCGGAGTTCATTCCTGGCCAGGACCCATCTCTGGGCGGTATGCTCTCAACGATGCTTTGGCGTTGCAGACGACGTTACTGACCAAACATGGCGACTATATGCAGTATTCCACGCTTCTGAATTGATCCTGCTCTTTGGGCAGTTTCCGGCTGTCGAGCAAGAGTTTGCCATTCAGATGGTAGACTTCTATGTGAACTTCGTCAACGATTTGAATCCAGGAGGTAAGTCTTGTCCGCCAGGGTCTGGAATAATATTTGAAATATGCTCATTCTTGGTCCCAGCACCGTGGCCCCAATTCACCCAAACGAACAAGGCCGTTCTCCAGCTCATGCGGGACAATATTACCGCCATACTGGATGGTGAGTACGTACTGCCCTACCTACAGGACCCCATCCTCACGGCACTTCCAGACTTCCTGATTGACAAGACGACGTTCCTGGACTCCGCCTACGTACTAAACGAGTTCCAAAAATAGGCGTAGCATCGTTAGCAGACAGGCAATTGCTCACGGAGCATAATGTTGGGACCAGGGGGGTATTCAACTGCTAGCCTCCTTCTGAGACGGGCTCGAGTGTCGAATGGAACGAAAACATCCATCGGGGAGTGCAGTCGCGCGTGATATAGTGATTCGGAGAGAAGCTGTGGTAAGATGTCATCCAACCCGAGCAAGGACGCAGTGCCGTGAGCATACGCATGCGCCGTGCGCGACAGTCTCATGCATGATTCATCCAAGTTGCATTTAGCCTTGCTTGGGCAGCAAGCTAGGGGCGTGAGCCCGAAGCTCGAATTCATTGCCTGAACGACAGCCCGTTCGTCTGCAGTTTGAGAAGTTGAATTATTGTCGGTGACGTGATCGAACTTGCACCCGCTGGCACGCCACGCCATGGGCGCTCTTGATGGATGCCTTCATCACAGAATCCCCTTTGATCTCGCGATCCAGTACTAGCGCCCCGCGATGTCTTCGCAACGAGTTCAATGTTCGCGATAGACGCAATCCTTGCGATGCGATATCGACCACATCGGTTCCCTTCCCATTGAGTAGTAATATGGTTGTCATGAATGAAATATTCCGATCCTTTCCGAGCGGTCCAACAATTGGTGTTGTTTTGAAGGTTTTTACGATTACGATTGACCGGGATAATTGGACAATGCTGGTATAATCTCGCAATTTCAGGTTCAGGTTGCGATTCAGGCAAAACTCCACATAAGGCAGGATAGAGGACGAAGAGATATATTCCTGGCTTTACTACAACAGAAGCAATCTACAGTACACGGTAGAGACATCCTCCTACCAAGACAAATGAGCCATACCACCACAGCCGGAGATCTATAGCTACATACAAGGAGAGCACTGCACCGCGTCATGCGTGATTCATCGTAAGACGTGAGGGGATCAAGCATAGCGAAGAATCAAAGATCCCCTGTAGACTGGCAGAGGGATAGACACAGAGGGACCTCATAGCACGCAGACTCACCAGTTGAAGGTTGCACAATCCAAGAACTCGAGACGCACCTTTTCATGATAACAGGCCATAATGGCAAGAGACGCACCTGGGTGTACCTTGTAGACCGGCAAGCTGTAGTAGTTGACGACATCGAACATCACAAAAAATGTGCTGGCCGGTCGTAACGATGCTAACCTGCAGCACAGGAGCGAGACTTAACGTTGCGATATTTGCACTCCGACGTAGTACTGTACAGTACCAGTGCTGATGCTGACGCGCGTGGTGTCTGCATCTTGACGGCGCTCGATAGCAGGTAATGGCATTGTATAGTACGCACAGAGTGGGACAGACAATGCGAGGACATTGTGAGAGGAAGGATATTGGGCCGACATTGCAAAGGCGTCGCGATATAATGACCACTGAGTCAATCATTTTACTCCTCGCCGATATCTGATAAAGCGGTTGAAAGTTGATTACAAAGGCGTCAATTATTTGTCCCCTGACCAAGGGGCCCGATCTCAAAGGGAATTCTGTGATGTTCTGAGAACATAGGACATCAAAAAGCGCTTGCCAGCGGCATGTGGTCTGGCGTTAATGTTATCGTTGCGTTGTCGTTGTTCAACTATATACTAAAACACCAGACTTTGATGAGGTTCCGTCATCACCCTGCGAACTCTAACCGTCTGGGCGACTGACCTACACACCCAAGCCAAACCCGAGGACCTCGCGCAGCACGCCAGCGCCTCACTGATTGCTCCCGGACGTACTCCGTATCCGTTCAACCGCTCGAGCACTAATCTGCCACACAACTTTGACGACGTCTCCGCCCAAGGTTGCTACAGATGTCAGCCAGCTGACAGGCGATGAGTACTATGGTCCCCAAAAACAATCGAACGCGCGCGACGCCTAGCTCCTCAATGCTGTTGTTCCTAGCCCGGAATGCTTCGTGCTGATCTTGACCGATGGCCCATGGGCTTCTTGTACTACTCACCGCGGCTTATCGCTCTGTTCACCATAATTGGCGGTGTCAGCCAAAGTCCTCTTTCTGTTTATCCTATACCCCCTGTGATACTCTGGTACATTGAAAGCGCGTCCTCCGTCGCGGCCTGTCGGCCTTCGCCCTACGAGAGGGATGGAGAGCGGACGTGCGGATGCTTTTCCGGGTATGTTTGGTACGGCAATGGACTCTCCTTCTTGTTGACCCGTGGTTTGATCTGATGCTTGACGTAACGTTTCCAGCCAAAGTGGCCCTCCCAGAGTGGCTGTCTGATCAATTCAGGCGTCATCTGTTACAGCTTTCACGGTTCTCTCCGCACGGAACCGACGCATCCCTCTCCATCCGGATAGGCCTTGTCCGCAGTAAGTTGCATAAAAGGCGTTGCATGCCGTCGAAGCGTCAAGCCGCCTCCCTGACACCTCTTGGTCGTGAACCATGTGGAAAAGAAACATCGGTGCTCTCCTTTCTTCTACATCGCTCTTGCTATCGTCGGCCGCGTATGGAAGCTTGGATTCCCTCGACATACAGACTACCGCGGGGGTTTTCAGAGGCGTCACGACCGCGAATGGGACAGAGCATTGGCTGGGTATTCCATTCGCTCAACCACCCATTGGCTCATTACGTTTCAAAGCCCCGGTCTCCTTTCTCAATCGATCGACGGCGGTCCAGGATGCTTCCACCTTCGGAAGTGCATGCCCACAGGTTCCTTCGACCAGTCTTGGCGCGCCTCAGTCGGAGGACTGCTTGTTCTTGAATGTAGGAAGATTGCTTTCACCGCTAGGACCTATGTTCAGTACTTGACCACGCTAGATCTTCCGGCCTAGCAATGTCAGCACCTCGGAGAAGATTCCGGTGTTAGTCTGGTTCTACGTGAGTACCAACCTCTCTCTTTACATGATGGTCGCCTCAGCCACCTGACAAGCCCCTTTCAAACTGCGCAGGGCGGCGCGTTTATGAATGGGTGGGTAGGCACGCTACCATGCGATTGTGTCATTGTGCAGGCTTATTCAAGTTTCCTCAGGGCCGCTTCTGATCCGCGATATAATCCCACGTGTGAGGCGTAGTGAAATCGCGTTGACATCATTCCCGTTTCTTATTCAAAATGTCACAGTTCTCATCCAGCGCAGCGTGGCGACTAGCAAGCCGATAATTTTTGTGTCTGTGTACGCATGCCAAGCTCTCATATGGAATTACAGGCCGGGCACTGATTGACCACAGCAATTACCGAATGAATACCTTTGGCTTCGTGAGCCCTCCCGACTGTCCGAACCGGACTGCAGTCTATTGAAGCTCGATTGAACAGCTGGCGAGTAGCCATGTCCCTGCCTCGGACCTGAACGCTGGCTTGCAGGACCAACGTGCTGCCCTCGAGTTCCTTCAAGAGAACATCGCCGCATTCGGAGGCGATCCAGAGAAGGCATGTTTGCGTTCTTATAGGCGTCTTTGACCTTTTTCTGATAACAGATTTCAGGTCACCATATGGGGACAGGTCTGTTAGTAAGGCTCGTTGCAAGGCTCCTTTCTCACTCGACATAGTCCGCAGGCGCAGGGAGTGCCGAAGCACATGTTCTCTTCCCCTCCCCGAAGTCATTGTTCAGGGCAGCGATCCTGGACTCTTCAACTGGACCATTGTGAGAGGGTCTCTACATCCCGTACTCGCTGCATACTGATGTTCTGCCCACCGCCGTTCACCAGCAAGACTGCGCCACCCGCCAGTACCTATGACGAACCGGGCTTCCCGTATGCAACCCTGGTCAACTTGACCGGGTGCCCCACCGGACCAGCATCGTTCACCTGCCTACAGGACCTCCCATTTGACGTGAGCCCCAGTATTAGTGCAGCTCGAGCGTAGCTGACCCCCTTCTCAAGACTCTCAACAACGTTTCAGTTGACTTGACTAATGAAGTACTGAACGGCCAGCTGTGGGAACCTGCTGTGGGGCCTGCTGGTAGCTTCATAACCGAGCGTCCATCGCAGCGCATCGCTAGCGGCAACTTCCTGCATGTGCCCATCCTTGCTGGAACCAACGTGAGCAGCCCTGATGCATCTACGTCTAGGCGCATACATAATCCTTCACATTAGCTCAACGAAGGGACCCTGTTTGCCCAGTCCGTGCGCAACCTCAATGTCACAGCCAGCGAGGAAGACGCCAGATTCGACACGTTCATCAAGCAGCTCCTCATCGACCCTTCGACTGTCACCCAAGACGTCTTCGACACGATCAACAACCTATACCCCGCCAATGACTCTAATCTCGGGGGTCGGTTCAATACCGGGGATTCGCTGTTCGATCGCGCGGAGGCGTGGCACACGGACAATATGTACTTGTCCTCGAGGCGGCTGCTGTTCAACAGAGCTGCACCGCTCCAGCCGCTCTTCGCCTACTTCTTCACGGAGTTCATCCCTGGAAACGACCCATCTCTGGGAGGTGTGTGCTCAATCATGTCTTTGCGTCACGGAATGGGGTGCTGAGCCGGTCGGACATGTATGTTCAGTATTCCATGGGTCGGAATTGGAACTTCTCTTCGGACTGTTCCCGTCCGTCGAACAAGAGTTCGCCAACCAGATGGCCGACTTCTATATCAACTTCATCAATGACTTGGATCCAGGAGGTGAGCCGGCTACTGCTGTGATCGAACTGCAGCAATATTGAGATTCAATCCGCGCCTAACCATAGCTCCATGGCCCCAATTTACCCCGACGAACAAGGTCGTGCTCCAGCTCATGCGAGACAATATCACCGCCATACCCGATGGTAAGCTCTTACTGAAATGTCCACAGGAGCATACCCTCACTGCGCTTCTAGACTTCTTGATCAACAAGACGACGTTCCTGGACTCGGCTCACGTACTGAGCGAGTTCCAAAAATAGTAGCAATACGATTATACATCCGTAGTCAGAGTACCCAAGGAACATAGTCCAGTAGCCCCCCACTACGACCGTGAGCCGCCTGCGTTCCGCCGAGCATCCTCGAGATATGCACGATACAGCTCGAGCTCCTCGATGATATTCGTAAGCGCGTTCACCTCCCAATTGCCGTACACGAACCCGAGGTAAAGCATCGTCGTGGCAAGCCACGCGACGGCGACTGTGACCAAGTATAGCACTGGGTTGATGTAGAATGGGAACCACGCCGACGTGACGACGATGGCGACGAGCAGGAACAAGCACACCAAGAAGACGAACAGTTGCTGTCGGCCCTGGTTCTGCGCGAACCTGTAGCGCGCGGTGAGCGATGTAAGGGCCTGAGTGATCGACTCGACCGAGATGTCCTGGGCCGACAACGCCGGTTGAGGATTCGCCTGCGAGCTTATCGCAAACGATGGGCCCCGCCTGCTCTCTGCGGGCGCAGGGATGTCGACGCTGTCCGGGTTCGTGACGTCCCCGCCTTGCGGGGACTCGATCTCGAACGTCGCCTCCAGCCCAAAGTGGTCCGAGTACGAGAACGGGTACCCGGGCACGCGCTCGGTCAGCACGACGCGTGTGTCCACGGCCCGGAGCACGGGAGTGCGCGCGGTTGCGTGCAGGCTGCTTGGCTGGCGGTAGAATACGTAGTCGAGGCGCTTGCCCTGGAATTTGCGGGCGAGGGGCTCAAGCTGCTTGCCCGCAGAGTACGAGTTCAGAGGCGAGTCGGCGGTCACACCGTGTATGTGAATCGCGTCTTGGGGCGTCGGAAGATTGCTCAGAGTGGGGTCGGGGGTGTTGGGGTGGGTGACGACCCAGGCGTCGGTGAGCCCCGCGTGATCGCGGATGATGCTCATGGGTAGCGTCGCTGGGACGCTGTTGAAGTCGCCCGAGGCGATGACATAGCGGCCAACCTCTGCGGACTGCCTGGCGAGCTTGGCGAACTCCCAGGCGTTGACGAGACGGTGCGCCCTCTGGTGTTCCGGACCTTCGTCTCCGCCTTTGGCAAACAGCTATAGAGAGACTGTCAGCATGCCAATTCTTGCAGGGAGGATGGGGTAGCTATACGTGAGTATTGTAAAGCTGCACTTGCCCCAAGATGGGATGGGCGAAGATGATGCTAGCTGCTGCCTTGCCCACGAACCAATCGCCACCAACGACGTCGACTGGTGAGCCGTTCAAAGAGTACGGATGGATAGTGGCAGCAACGATTGGGAACCGGGAGAAAATGACCAGGCCTGCTCCGAGCGCCCCGCTGTAAAAAAAAATGGCAACTTAGTATACAACCTATGGCTACGACGGGCAGGCTGACCCAACATCCGTACTTGCCTATAGAAGAACTTGGAAAACGGCAGACGCTTGGATACCGCTGCGCGCACATACTCGAAGTCGGCGAAGACCCAGAGCTCTTGCAGCGTGATGACATCGTAGTCCGAGGATGCGAGCGCGGTCGCAATGGCCCTTATTCGTTCTGTTCGATAGTTTGAAACATACTTCAGACCCCTTGACATAGTGAGTTGGGTCTGCCACATAGCTCACGCCCGTAGAACACGTACCAGCAGTTAAAGGTCAAGAGCTTCAGCCTGGTCTCGTCGGCCATCGTCGTAGGCTGTTGCTTGAGAACCACGCGGACCCGTGGCGTCCTGGCACCTCCCCATCCAGCGCTCCGTTTCGATCACCACGTCCGGTCGGCGGCCCGGGCCGAGGATCACTCCGTCATCCCTCTGGGCGGATACGATCGCCCGCTACGCGAACTTTGGCTATTATCTTTATGAGCAGAGTTGTTCGAGTGCGTCAGACGGCCTACTGGAAGACCAGCGTATCCAGGGGACGATAAGATGTAAGGGTTAATGATTGATTACATTATTTACACTACGTAGCAGTACTTGTGGCAAGGGACACTACAGGATACAACACACAATCTTGCACACCAGGAACATTGTCGGCTAATATACATATCTTGAATGCGAATTATCGTGATTGAGACGGGCGCATTGTCGAGGCTGTATGTGGAAAGAAGAAAGTCGTGTAGAAGTGGCTGACCATCCGGACATGCAATTGCAGAACCACAGACGAGTCGTCACTGAGTTCAGATGACGGAAGAGAGGATGTGGAGGATGCGGAGCGGAGCTAGCAAGAGGTCAACAGACAGGGGTCGAGGTGTGAGAACCGGAACGATGTTCCAGATGAACCTGAAGCGCTATGCCTGACGAAAGGAGGGTTGACGTGTCATTTCGCTGGGTTTCGATACTACTTCAGTCTTGACGGTCTTCGTATGATTCGCTGGACCGGCCTCAGACCACAACTTGCACAGTGACGTAACGTCGGGATGACTCCGCTGTGAGCGACGGATGGTAGGTTCGGGTGGTACTTCCGAGGACGATGTCATGCTCATGGACGAGATGCGATGTCTTCGACGGGAATGAGCAGCAGGTGACGACGGAGGTGTAGAATGGGCAACCGGTATGTGGAGGGTGCTGGATGCCGATACTGATGCGACATCGGCAATTGCGGTGAACGTCGCCCGTAGACGAGAGAAAGATGGTGCTTTGGATAGCGTCGGCCGTTGACCGCCAGGAAGTATTGATGACGAAGTTGGGGACGGAGAAGGCGGCGTATATACGCGAACCACCCCATCCCCGAAGTCTCCTTCGTCATCGGAGCTAGTGTTCGCATACATGTTCTCCCAACTTGGTTCTTCGAGACTCGGTGTGGACGGTTCAGAACTTGTGGGGTGTATCTTCCGGTACGACCCGGTGCGACCCATCTCCTTAGGCGGCGTCTCGACCATAGCCTCGCGACCCTCGCCTGTCTCGGTACCGTCGCCTCGAACGACACGAGCAGCATCGGTGTCGATCTCATTCTCAAGGCCCTTTTCTGCTGACGTTCCAAAGTACTGCGGAGTACGAGCTTGGCACTGGGGCAGGAACTTCCATACGAACTCGGCACAGGACCTGAAGGCGTACTCGGCGGCTTCGAGGAAAGGCAAGGATTGGAATACATGGACCTGGAAGATATAAGTTTATGAACGCGCCGCAATTATGCCGGCTTACCATGTCTTCGTACAGCTCGTACCGCACTTCTACTCCGGCTAGCGATGCTTTGTGCGCAAGAAGTGTGATCTCGTCCCGGAGTACCTCAGCTTCACCAGCTTGAATGAGCAAGGGAGGTAGACCCTTGAAGTCGCCAAACAATGGGCTTGCGTATGGATGGGTCAGATATTTCTCCATATGCTCTCCGAGGTAACACAAGATGGGATTGAGGTGGTCACCGGGTTGAGGCATCGGTACAATGTCATAGTCAGCGTTGCTGTCCCACGACTCGCAACTCATCGTGAGGTCTACAAGAGCGATGCATCAGTGTCCGGCTCTGCGCCAGGAGTGGACAATCACTCACCAACCCAAGGCGATATGAGTATGGCCCCGGAAGGTAATGGATAGTCGTTGTCTCTCAGGTACATAAGAAGTGCAAGAGTGAGACCGCCACCGGCGCTATCTCCAGCGATGACGATGTTCTCTGGAGGAATGTGCAAATCGTCGATGAGCCTGAGATAACACGAGACCGCGTCGTGCAAAGGTCCCGGGAACCGAGTTTCTGGAGCTAAGCGGTAGTCCAACGCTGCAACGTCGTGAGTCACTAGGCTATGCAAAGACGGAAGAGAGGGTGCCTACCAAACAGACGTGCGTCAAGATGCTTTGAGAGGGTTATAGTTAAGAGTCGGTGAGTAGCAGCACTGAACATGTAGTATGCGCCTGTATGCGCCAAGCCTGAGCATGGCAGAGGTAGGGAAATGCTAGAAGACGTACCACCATGCAGGTACAGCACTATACGCTCCTTCCGCTTACCGCTGCCAGGTGCAGGACCAGTGGGTTCGCCTTGTTTCCGAGCACGCCATTCCGCTTGCAGCCGTCTCCATGTCTTCTTCCCAACCACCCATTCGCCTGAGAGTTCGCGATTGCCGGTTTCGACAGCATCGAACTCTTCGAGTATCCCCCGGAGCTTGCGTTTCCGCACTTGGAACGTTACAGGGGTGACGAGCGCATCCGACGGCACCGGACAGAGGCCGCCGATGTTCATCAGCATGCGTATGGTTCCCTGGTCCCGCGGTCAACACCAACCCGGCGACTTTTGATAGAGTGATACTCACAATGTCTGTCAAATATGAGTAGCGGCTCACGCCCCTCATGATACTCGACAGCAGCGTCATCTCGATACCCCAGGACTTGCGTCGAGGACCCCATATCTGATGTGAGACGACGTCCGCGGCGAGAGTGGTGGCTAGGAGTGGATACATGCGGTCAGAATCGGGTTCGACGACGAGCGAGCAGCGAAGCCCAGGTGCGCGTCATGCGGACTGAATGGCGAAGCGGCCTCATATGGCACCCCGCATTCGCTCACGCAACGTGTCAGGGCGAGATCTTGTCAGAGAACTCTTGCAAGGGGCGGCACAGAGGTCTCGCTCGAAGACTGACCGAGGGAGAAGAACGCACCTTTCATCGCGGCGAATGCACCATACTTCCAGAGCTCCCATAGCCTCATCGGCTCGTTCTTCCGCTGTTTGACCTTCGGATCTCCGACGCGCGACGACGGCGGTAAGGCCTCGGAAGGACGTTCAAAATGGCGCAACGCCTCTCGGGGCAGAGCGACATCGGCCGTTATGTCCGCGGAGAGCCTTGTGAGGACAGAGGGCTTGGGCTCCTCTGGCTCCGTGACGTCGGGGGCCGCGCGCGACAGAAACCAACGCATGGCTATACTGTATGGACAGACGTGATGGGCCTCAAGGGAGACGGCGAGGCCGTGCCAGAACGTTGTAGCGTGTTAAAGGCAAGGTGGGCAAGTGGGGAGACGAGAGGGAGACAAAGTGAGAAGTGTTGGAGAATGGACGTAGGCGCGAGCGAGGCACTCGATCACCCAAACACGGCAATTCACATGTGAATAAGGAACAGTCCGAGAATCGGCCGCTGTGAGCGTTGTGGCAAAACACTGTTCCCGTCTGTTCTCGTACAGTACTGGTACAACTGCGTGCCCTGTAATACGCCCTTTCTCGCGATACCGCCCATTGACGTCCAGTGACATGGCGCTGCCGCCCGGACCTCCGCCATTGAGACCTCGTGCCCCTTGTCATCTGCTCAGTACTCTCGCGGTGCTAGTAGTCATCACCCCGACTGACGATCTCCTTCCGTGTCGGGCGGAGTAGAATGGTATGCTCCTGTGGAACCATCATCAGTCCTTCCGTCTCTCGCAATCGCAAAAGCATTGTAGGAACATATACAAATTGTGCTGTCATAGATCCACGGACATCACAGAGCGGTGGATAGTCTTGGACGATGCCTTGTGAGACCAAATGGTTGAGCTGCGGAGGGATGTTTGAACAAAGTTCACAATGCAATGCCGCGCAGCGCCGTGACCCACCGCGAGAAGGTATCTGCTCTCCCCCGCGCGCTCCAGGTACCTTCGACACCAAGGAAGCGTGCCGAAATTTTTGTTGATCGATTGCAGCAGAGACTTCGCCGACGTCAGACTGGGAGCATTGTGACCGGTCAGATTCCAAGCTTGTAGTACAGCCTTGGCATATGCCATACCGAAGAGGAACGTGGGGGGCATCCACACGACGGGCGTAATGTGAGACCTCGCCTTGCTCGATCACCTTGCCGCGACCAGTAGATCCGAAGGTCTCAATCGCGAAGTACTCGCCCTCTTCCATCTTTGTCTGGTCGTCGTTCTTCACCAGGAGCACAGACTTTCCGCCGTGTATTTGATAGAGGTTGATAGAGTGGCCGCTGAGGTTATCGATCGGCTTGACTGGCAGAGGAAAGCCCAATTAGGTTCTTCAGGTGCACAAGCTACCAACTACTCACCAGGCAACACCTTGCCGTTTACCTCAACCTCGTACGACTCCATCGTTTCTTGGATGTATCCGGCAAGCTCGCCTAACCGCACATCGATGCCTGCTTCCTGGTGACCAACGCCGGTGGCCAGCCGCCGTCAGTATCTGCGAGCGACGTGAGTGCATGACCTGGGAATACTTACTCGGACGCCGGTGTCTGTAGCAGCCTTGACCGCCTCGAGCAGCTTCTCGTACGTGGGATCGAACGTCAGCGTGAACGCCGAATCACAAATCCGCCCCTTGACATGGACCCCAATATCGACCTTCAGCACGTCCTTCTCGCCCAGGACTGCCGAGAAGCACCGTCAGCCCTCGCTCCACCATCCCACACAGACGGACGGCCGTGGAGCCTCGTACGTATCTCAGCGGACACGCACCAGATGTGTCGCCCGGGTTTGGCGTATAGTGTGCCGCGCAATGGTTGAGGCTGAGCCCTGTGGGGAACCCGACCCCCGAATCGAGCCCGTCCTCCTCGACGAGCGCGCGCACGCCGTCCTCGATGCCGTTCGCGATGTCGATCATGCGCATGCCGGGCTTGATGAACTTGCGCGCGTACTGGCGCACCTGCCGGTGCACCTCCGCCGCCCGCCGGATGTGGTTGTACGTCACCTCAGGGTCCTCCATCGCCATCTGCTCGTCGTACCGCTTCTCTTCGGACGTCGTGCGGAAGGCATTACTGCGCGTGGCCGCGGCGCACCGTCAGAACCCGGGTGCTCTGTTCGTGTGCAGGCAGGGAAGGGTGCGTACTCGTCCTTGTACTCCTGGGTCTCGCCCTCGGGGTACTTCCCGTCGGGGAAGAGCTTGGACAGTCCGATGGTGGGCGGCTCGGTCTGCTCGACTTTCTTCTTCTTGGACTTCTTCTTTTTCTTTTTCTTCTTGCCCTCGCCTGCGAATGTCACCGTGTAATTGCAGAGGATTGACGTTCAATCCAGGAATGCGAGGTGAGAGCTGTTTGGACTTTCAGCCACCGAGCACGCACCTCCCGCGCCTTGCGTCTCAGGCTCTCCGTCCTCGGCATCATCCGCCTCCTCTGCGTCCAGCGCGGTAGGCGGGACTTCGTCTGGCTTATGCTCTATGGGAGCAATCATTGGCGGCTTTGAGTGGTCTTGATATCGCCGTGAGGTGGACTGTAAGTAAAGTGGTAGAGGATGCACGGGAGGAAGTCTTCTACAATGCAGACGCCCTTCTTTGCCAATTCCGCCGCTTCCGCCTGGCACGTGATGTCCTTGAGATGGCGTCTCCGTAGAGGAACGCAAGTATTCTTGTCAAGGGAAGGCGTCGACTAGCAAGTACGAGTCTGACCAGTCTTGACACGGCCATTAGTACGGCCATTCCCATGCTCTTCCTACGAAGAGGCATACAATACGTGGCTCCATCGCGACGGCGTGAAGCTTTAGGCTCGGATGTCCCGGAGTCAGTCAGCGGTCTGAGGAAACACATATCACTTGATGGATCTCAACAGGACGGTGAATATACAGCTGGTCGCGAAATTTACAGCTGGTTGCGAAATTTATGCCGGCCGACTCCGAACGACGCTCGCGCACTTTCTGCATCGTAAAATGAAACAAATTCCATAAATCGCCCTGCACTATCAAACACCTAGACCACAAGGTATTCGACCCTTCTGGGTCCATAAGAGCCTGAAACATTATGAACAAGGGTGATCCACGACGTTCGTAGAAGGCTCTTTGCAAGGACCTCACAGGCGCTACTTTGAGCAAGTAGGCTGGAGCGAACAGACAGGCTCTCAAGAACGGAAGAGACAGAATTTGGACAGCAATTCACCTAAAAGACGGTGTTGATGGTCCGTATAGGCTATTACAGACAGCTGCGTGGCAAGGGTGCTTCGAGAAAGCTGGAACTAGATGCTACTCAAACACTGCCTCTGTCGGCATTGCATAGTGTTGATGATGTGTCTGCTGACGAAGTTCGCACTGGAAAGGTATCAAGAGCACCTATAAATACTTTTTTATAG